ACCACACCGACTTTTTCTCAGACCTATCAAAAAAGAAAAGAAAAAGGAGACTTAACTTTTACCCCCCCCCCCCCAGGCCTACCACAAATGTTGATCTCTACTTTCAGACCTGCCAAGTCACTGGCATCCACTGCTGGTTATAAATGAAAGGACTGGAGCTTCTCCAAGGGGCTCAACTCCCGAGTCTGCCCAGTTACCAGACTTTTTATTTCAAGACTTGGCAGCCTTAACTACAAAAGGAGCAAAAAGCATTTATTGTTGTGCAGTGCCGCCACCTCTGTTTTACTGTCTTCCTCTGACCTCTCCCCAGGTTATGCACTCTATTAGAGTAACAATAATCAGTTTGTTTATGATACTTTTGGACCTTTTTCTCCATTTGGCTGTTGTATTTGGGGGATTTTAGAAACTGTGATTAACATGCTAAATATTGATAGTAACAGTAAACAGTGAGGTATCATCGTGTGAATGAGCCTTGGGCTTGTGCACTTCCTTTCCCCCCAGCATGATTGAAAGAAAGAGATTGGAAGCTTTGGCTTTCATTTTCAATTAATTACTAATTAGAGCACAACTCTGTGGCCAGTATATACTGGCTGGCTGGCCTGCCATATGAAAGGAGGAAACCCTGCTGTGAACTTAGAAAATCCTTCTGAAGTCAGAGCAGGGACTCTGAGGGGGGAAGTTCACTTCTTCAGTTGGCTTTCCACACTGGCCAAAGCCCCAGAGGTGGGAAACGGTCTGTGGGACAGGCACTTGGGGGCCTTGCAGAGGGGAGGGATGCGGCACCACTGACTGCCACCAAATCCAGGTGGTGCCTCAGTCCCTTCTCTTCACAAGGCAGTAAAAATATTTAGATGGCTGAAACTGACTGCCTAAAAGTTTTTGAGGGAGGGGGAGCGCGGAGTCAAACCTTGCCTTTGTACTTCTGTAGTACTCAAAGGGATGCCTGTAACCTTTTGAGTTACAGGCACACAGAATGGTTTAATTAAATGGAAATTAAATGAAAAGCTCAAACTATAAATTGTGATCATTGTTAACTATGGTTGATTGAAACAAGCCAGCTTCATGAACCAATGGTTGAAGCTAGGTTGTTTTAATAAATATGGTTAAGACTAACCATTGTGTTTCTTGCTTGAGATATAAGGCTAACTTGCTATTAAATAAAAATGAAATCAAAAGCTTCTTAATTCTTCATGACTGCACCAGAGAAAGGAGGGGAGAACCCTCAAGCCCAAAGGCTACCCAGATTTGTTCATTTGATCATTAGTTTAATCTTCAGTCTGAATGCGAACAATGAGTTTCTTCTATGGAAGATCATGTGTAGAAGTTTATGACAGCTTCAGTGTACATAATTGCAGGTGGACTTTGCAAAAGAAAAAAATCTTTGCCTGAAGCCAACAGGAATTTAGGTTCTCCAGGAAATCCCCAGGAGAATCTACTTAGATTCTTCATTTTGAAGTATTTTTTCCTATGAATTATTTGGTTTTCTTTTTCATAGGGAAAAAACTGCACATTTTATCGGTACCAGTCTGTTAGAGTTATGTTAATGTGATGGAGCACAACTAAGATGTTGAATTATGACAAACAAAAGATGATGATAGCAGAATAAGACAGAAGACTTCATGCTGGAATTTCTGACTGCCAGCTTTTTTGTGTGCCAGATGGGTCCCCCTGTTGGAAATAATATTTTTGATCTATCAAGCATCTTTTAGAAGCTAATTATTCCCTCAGTTGCAGGTAGTTTATAAAAGAAGAATCAAAATGAACTGGCCCTCACCAGTGCCAAAAAATACATGTAATTCTGTTTGGATGCACTTTACATAAACTTACATAAATGCACACTTTACATAAACTGCAAACGTGAGGTCTGAAAGTTCAGATATAGGTTTAGTATCTGAATATATGTAGTCCAAAAGATATGGCTATATACAGTGCTTTTTTTGTAAGAGAAAGGGTGCTGGAACTCATGAAATTATTTACCTTTTGCACGTAGTCAATCACTGTACACACACCCACACATGTCAGTTGTGTAACGAAACATAATGGTCACTGCCTGCACTCAGTGCGTGACCACATGACCAGTCACAAGCTGAGCAGCACCATCACAACCAGCGCGGACGAAGCATGCATGCATCGGACTCGACACACAAGCAGCCCGCATGCACCGTTTTAATGATTTTGTCGCTGGCCTGCTACACTCATCAGGGCTATTCAAATCCACATGGACCAAACATCAGATTTTCAAAAGTTACTTTTAAAACTTGGAAAATCTGTCGAAAAAAAGCTGCCGGAACTCTGTTCCGGTGTGTTCTATGACAAAAAAAGCTCTGGCTATATAGTTTTTCACAAACATTAAAACATGTAATGACAATGAATAGGTTTTAGGATTAAAAGAAACACCAACAATTTTAAAATTCTGTTTATAAGGTCACCCCCAAATCCAACAGGATTGCAAATAAAATCATGTGGAGTGATTCCTTCGCATTGCTTCATCTACATCATAATATGAAATCTATAGTTCCAATTTCAAGGGAATGGCTTGTTCCCAGAGTCAGAAACTCTACGCCATCTAGTGGCATATTAAATGAGCACAGTTTAAAGATATTTTGAAAATTACTTACACCTTACATTTAGAAATACTTGAGCCCTTCTACATGTAAGCCATTTCTGAATATGTCTTCCCAGCAATATTATTTGATTTTGTTATGCAATGCATTGATTTAGGAACTTTACTGATAGAAAGGTAATTTGTTTTAAAGAATGGGAATTATAAAGGAAATTAGGGGAATTGTATATAGCATGTTTTAAAAGTAGATGTCAATTGTTCTATATTTAACATTTATACAAAGACAAATTTATGTGGCTTAACTATTTGTTTTCACCCTTTCTATCCTGAAGTGCAGTCAAGGTAGCTCACAATAAAACTACTGCAAAGAATAACATAAGCAGTCATAAAATACAAGAAAGAACCACCAGTTAAAGCTCTGAAGAAAATGCCCATTGGAATAAGAGTGACTTTGCCACCTTCTTAATGCAGGAAGGGGGGGGGCTAGGTGTACCTTCCTAGGAATGCCCTTCTTGATGCTGAAGTCTTAGTGTAGGCTAACTTCCAATAGCAGTCACAGCTGCCTGTTACCACTGGCAGAATTGATAGGTCTAGTGCATGGTTAAATGCATGAAGTTCCTCTGATTTCAGGATGGCATCTGCCATCTGTAGCTGCTCAGTTTTCCTGTCTTCCTTGCAGTAAGGAATGCTCGTCAAAAATACTCCAATTCACAGTTCAAGCAGGTTCAGATGTTTGACAGAAGCAAAAACAGTTACCAGGAAAGATAGGAGTGTTATTGGGAGACACGAGATGAAATTATCATGCTGTCTTTGCCATCCTGAGAACACCGGGCGGAAAATAGTAGTATAAAAACCAGGGGAACCTTTCCTGTTTCATATTTAGGGAAATGGTCTGTTTCTCAGACTATGGCCCTTTCTAACTCAGTGGGTGTGTTTTTACAGCATACTAAACCACCTGTAAATAAGCCACAGTAGGTTGGGTTGCTCCCTAAATCGTCCGTGATATAGCTGTTCCCTCCCTCCTTTCCCCTCAGCTCTCCATCCTAATACAGCATGCGTCCTGTGTCCTTCCCAGAAGAACTCGCCCTCTCCCCTTCTCCACTCCAGTTGCTACCCCTTTTTGCTTGCCTCCATTTCTCCGCTGGAGTCTCAAAAAAGCACAATTTGGGTCTGTTTTTGTTAGGTCCCAGAGAACTATACAACTGGGTTCAATCTTTTATTTTTTTGTCAGAATTGCACAAGTGCATTCTGATATGTGTAGTCTTGCTTTCCCCTTTTCAGTGCTTTCCTGGGTCTCCAACTACTCTAGATAAAGGAGATTTTAACACCCCTTTTCTTCTTGTAGTTGTTTTAGTCCAGTTAGTGCTGCAGGTGCTGTGGTTGTGGGGGAAAACCCCACAAACAACACAGAAATATATGCAAATTTAATGGAGGGGGAAATATGTACACCTGTAGTAACTGCTTTTAGAAGGAGTTGTAAAAATTGGGGAGTTAATATCACCCCTTTTTGGAATCGTTGGAGAGTTGGGGGACACTGAGAAGTTACAGTTCAGTACTTAAAACCAAGACATTGCCAAGAAGAAGATAATGTTGCCCCACCTTTTAGTGCACTTATTCCTTTCACTCCCTATCCTTACTATACTTTCGATCAGGTCCCTCCTTTCTCTTGCTGTTATTTCTCACCCAGCCCTTCACAATTGTGCCCAAATAAGCCAATAGACAAAATGTATTATCAGTACTCATTGTGAACAGTTTGTAACTGGCAAAAGACTGACATCATCATAATCATCAAAATATGACCTCAGTTGCACATTTTTAAGGCATCAAAAAGCCAGAGAACAAGTGATGATTTTCTGGGAGCCATTTCAGCATTAAGCATGAAAATCAAGCTGCATGGAATTTGATTTGATCGATTCGAATTTATTTATTTATTTATTGCTGCTATTGCTGAGTGGCTCTGTAACCAGTTGCAGCACCCCACAATAAAATCAGACTCCTCGGTTCAGATGATACGACAAGATTAATTCATCATGGGCAAGAATGATCTTATAACAAGCCATGGATTCTCTATGTGGTTTGCTACCATAAAATAAACCACCCACAGAAAACACTCCAGGTGTGGATGAAATGCCCACCTACCATGGCTGGCTACATGGCTTGCTGTGCTGTGTGAACCCAGTCAATAATCTATATGCTAGTAATCTCTTTGTTTCCAGAACTGGAGATTCTTGCGATATTGAGCTATCAGGATTAAGAGAAAAAATGAGAATCTTTACTGTAGACTTTGCTTGGTTATGCGTAATGCATGTTCTTTGTGCTCTGTGTGTAAGAGAGAATGAGGCATGAGTGTGAGATACCATCCTACATAAATGTTGTGGTTGGAGCTCAGTCTACACCATGTTCACGTTATGTCCTTCCTTTTTTTGGCCCACTCCAGGCATGGAGAGTGCAATCACGTTGTGGCAGTTCCTGTTGCAGCTGCTTCTTGACCAGAAGCACGAGCACCTGATTTGCTGGACATCCAACGATGGTGAATTCAAGCTACTTAAGGCAGAAGAAGTGGCTAAGCTGTGGGGACTCAGAAAAAACAAAACTAATATGAATTACGACAAGCTGAGCAGGGCTCTGAGATACTACTATGACAAGGTATGTTTGAATTATTTTAGTAATATTTCAATAATCACTTTTATACCACAGTCTAGGCATATATAGACACACTGAGACGGCCTTTGGATATTCCCTGAAAAGTCCTGTCATTGAAAGAAATGTACAAATTAAAACAAATTTCTCAACTTTCTCAAATTTTAGCTTCACAAATTTAGTTTCTCCTATGAGTTTGAGTGCATATTCTCAAATTTTCACCAGCTTCTTTCAGTTGATCAAAAGGAGAAGGACAAGTAAAAAGCAGGAGAAGTCAGAGGCTGTGCTGTTCAATGGCCTTGCCACAGAGCTGGGGAAGGAGTTAGCTTTACAGGGCCCCTGATTGCATTATTGAACCAAATAGCTGAAGATATATGATGGTGTACAATAACATGCAAAAGTACTTTTTTCAGATTCTAAGCTTGTGCTGTGCTGTTCAGTAAATGCAGCATCACTTCTGACATACTATCAGTACTCTTGAGCATTGTATATAAGATGTTCATAGCAGTGTGAACTGGCTGTATAACAAAATTGTTTCACTCATTAGTGTGAAAGTTCATTTGTAAGAGGCCTTTTTAATTTTCCCTCAGAATTTGTGTTTCCATTTCAGCTGCAGACAAACCAAAAACAGAACACAAACCTAATTTTATTTGCACACTTTCAATAATTAGTTAATATGTTTATTTCAGTCAAATGGCAGTAATGATTTTATGAAACTGTTGTACTCCCATGGTTTGTTGATTTGTTTAGTCCTGCTTCTTTTAATCATCAGGGAGAGGTTTGAGGGAGCTTCCACACTAGCTATTTAGAACAGCCACACTTTATTCACTCACTTCTTAAAAAAGCATTCATGCAATAATTTCATCCAGTCATTGCCATCCTGTATTTTCCCTTTAGTCTTGTTTTTTCTCATACACTAGGAAAGCCCGGCCTTTTCCACAAGAATGGAATAGCACAATCTTTGCAGCTTTAGCTGCTTTTAGAGCTACTCTTCCTTTTTCTTAAAAGGGTGTGGTTTTGACATAGTCAGGACAGGGAAGGTGAATCTATCACAGTTCAGTATGTATGTATGTATGTATGTATGTATGTATTTATTTATTTATTTAGGAGACTTCTGTGCCGCCCCATTCGCTGAAGCCTCAGGGCGGCTCACAACCATAAATAAACTTCAAGATAGAATAATATAAATTAACAATATAAATTAACAATATAAATTAAGTCGCCCTGGCCAAAGAATAAAATGAATAAATAATACTAACAATTAAAATAACATTTGAATAAAAAGGTCTTCGCCTGGTGCCGAAAAACAAATAACGACGGCGCCAGGTGGACCTCTCTGGGGAGCACATTCCATAGATTGCAGTACACATTCTTTTTTCTTGGTGTGGTAGGTGCAATTTTATGACCCAGTTGCTGTTGATGATGATGATTAAATTCATTTTTTAATTAATGTCACAGTGTTCTGCAACTATAATTTTGAAACGGATAACAACAGTATAAGTTCATGATGTTATATTGATAATATTTTTAAAAGTTTACAAAAAAACCTCTCTGCTTTCTACTCATTGCCATTAACCATGTTGCAAAGAGGGCAATGACTTGACTAACAGTGTATAGTGTTACAGTGGTATAACACCAAATTACCATTACATTATAAAGTGTTATCACACTTATAGCTTTCATTCATTTAAAACATGTTACAATTTTAGTACTAATTTAAAAATAATAAAGAGTCATAACATGGTGCCCATCCACAATTTCTTAGTCACAACACTGATGAGTAGAACACAGTCAGATAAACTTGTAGAGAAAACAGATGCAAGAGAAGGTCAGATGCAATTCTGTTTGTAACTTATAATGGAAAAACAGTGATTGGAGAGTGCTAGAAGCCATGTGCCTGGAAGGAATTTGGATGGTGAATAAGATCCAGGAGCAGAGTAGAGAGGAAGAATAGACAAAACTCCTGAGTTTTTTTTATTAGGTGGCATTGCCAGTCAATCATACTGCACATATTACAGGATTGTAGAAAGATGACCATGTCAAAATGTTCAACCTTATGGGCCAAAACTGGTACACTGAATGGGAGCAGATCTCCAGTGCCTCAAATTGAGATCTTTCCCACTTGGTCCTTTTCCGTAGAGATGACAGGGATGGAATCCAGGAGCGTACACATGATAGACCAGATGCTCTGCACTGATCTCTTTTGTCAAGAAGCTAACTATATTCCACCCCTGGTTTGGTGTTTTATGCAGAACATCATCAAGAAGGTGATTGGGCAGAAATTTGTGTACAAGTTTGTGTCATTCCCTGAGATTTTAAAGATGGATCCACATACTGTGGAAATCAGCCGGGAGAGCCTTTTGCTGCAGGACAGCGACTGCAAGATACCTCTTGATGGCAGAGAACAACACAAGCATGGCCTGTCAGTCCTGAAAAGCACCAGCCGTAACGAATATATTCATTCGGGGCTGTATTCATCATTCACCATCAACTCACTGCAAAACCAGCCAGATACTCTTAAGCAGATCAAAACCGAGAAGCTGGAGGAGAAACTGGAAGAAACCACACCATTGGAAGAAGTCCGGACTGTTATAAGATTTGTGACAAACAAAGCAGATAAGCAAGTCATGAGGCCAATTGTGTCATTGCCGTCAACATCTGAGGCAGCTGCCGCTTCTGCTTTTTTAGCATCATCTGTCTCTGCAAAGATATCTTCATTAATGTTGCCCAATGCAGCCAGCATCTCATCAGCATCACCACCTTCCTCCCGGTCACCATCTCTGTCTCCTAATTCACCCCTCCCCTCAGAACACAGAAGCATCTTTTTGGAGTCCAGTTGTCAGGATTCTGATTCTCTTGAGCCACTGAACCTTTCTTCAGGATCCAAGACAAAATCATCTTCTCTTCCCCCAAAGGCTAAGAAACCCAAAGGCTTAGAGATCTCACCACCTCCAATGGTTCTTTCGAGCACTGACCTCGGCTCTATTGCCCTCAACAGTCCTGCACTCCCATCGGGATCTCTGACTCCAGCTTTCTTCACTGCCCAGGTAAGTCCCGGACACTTTGACTGATTTAACTATAGGGCCCCCAGTCCTTTTCCAAGTGCGCTGCTCCTCTTTGTGGCTTGCATTGCACCGTGAAAGAGCTCCAGGGACAGTGGACTGCTATATGCACGTTATGGTGCCTCAGAAGGAAAAAGAGGACCATTTAAATCTTTATTGAGGCACTTTTCCTTTACAAGTCTTCCAAGTTGTGTACAACCACACAGGCAACCATGTTACTCACCAGTAAAAATTAAAAACACAGTTGTCACACATTAAACATGTATAAGCAGCTGGGAAATCAGCAGAACAGCAGTCAGTAAATTCTTTAAAGGCAGCAGAACAGAGTAAATGGAAAGACCTAGAGAATAATAGCCTAAATAGCAGTAGGAGACTGAGGAATATGTTTGAGAGGTTGTTCCGAAGAGGGGCATCGTCACTTAAAAGGTATCATCTCATGAATATATCTTTACCTTTGATACTCCACCAGTATGTTCAAGCCTGCCATTGAATAAGCCATTCTTCCTCAAACTTGTGGCCTCCCCAAATTTAAGAAAACTTTTATCATCTCTGTCTAGCATGGACAATGATAGGAATGGCAATCCAACACAACTGAAGGGAACTGTAGCCCAGCCAACTGGTTGGAGAAAGCTGGAATAATCCAATTACAGTTCCCAGAGGGACTTAAAGGAAATACACCTGAGCAAACCATCCACATTAAACCATTACAGTTGGCATCATCATATTCAGAATGTGACCAAAAAGGTTAACCAACAAATCCAAAGAGTTCTTGGATCAAATCTTGGCCATTCATACTGAGAGATGCTCGGTTGATTTTTCTAGTACTACATGTAGCACCCATTCAGTAAGGGTGAACTTTTCAGAGCATGTAAAGCAGATCGCAATCATTGTTTTATTAAGGAAGGATTTTAAAGCTTATTTCTATTTCAGATGCACTGCAGGTCCATAAAAATTTTGTTGCATGGTACTCTCTGCAAAAGTCTTCTACATTGTCATTATATCAAATGGCCTTGAGTTGTTTAGATTACACTGAGAGGTCATCTAAAAATCAAAGTTCACTGCTGAAGAAATCCACAGACTTGAACTGAAATTTCCTCCTGAACTAAGCTTGAGTCAGTCTGCTGGCAATTGACAGAGTTGGGAATAAAGTTTACCTGGCAAGATGGATTGGCTTGCCTCACAGGTTTTTTGCCTTTTTTGCAGCAGTGTAAATTGGTAGGCCAGGTCAGTCACAACTTTTTAGGGGGGGTGGCATTGGCTGGATCCAGATAAAAGGGGAAGGTGGACATGCCCCCTTCCTCTCACGGACAGGGTGGTTCCTGGGGATGTGACCATGGAACTGCAGCCCAGGTTGGGGACTGTATGCTGGCATCACTTCTAGGGTTGAAGGGAACCATGGAAATGGCAGGCACTGTGGCAGCTCTACGCACGCTCCAGAGCAATCTCCCCTCATTAAAGGGCCCCTGATCTGCGGGGGCAGATCAGACAGCAGGGGGCTGCCTGATTCAGGGATCTTTCCATATGCCATGTCAAATTCTAAACAGGAACCGAGAAATTTGAGGTCAAGTTAAAACCCAGCACTGTCTCTGCACAATCTGAGGTTGAGTTTCTTGGAACGGCTACTCAGTTGGGTACTTTGAGCACAGCCAGCAGCATTTGGCTTAAATCTTGTGAACCTTGTAAACTCACTAGCCTGCATGAAGTCCAAATGATCAGCAGGTTTGTCATTTAGAGCCAGGACATCAAACATTATACAGTCAGTGGATTTAGAATGGGGATGCTAGACTATATGGACATAACACAGAAATAGGCTAGATTGTAGTTGCATTCCTTTGAAGTGGTATGTCCAAGTACAGTTAGCATTATCCTCTTGCTGGGTCTTTAACAACAGTTTGATTTACTGCTGTTAGCAGGTAACAATGATCTCTGAATGATGGAAGGCTTCCCCTAGTAATTCTTGTCTAAAAGCTTTTGTGAAAAGCATAAGAGTAGGCCCCCACCTTGCAGTCAGCTGGCAACCTTAACCTCGGTCAGAGTGTGAGATAGACTGTTAGCAGATTAATTACATTTTGTGTTTTCCTTGCACCATGGCATTTCTCAAATGAAATATGAAATGACATGTTTAGGTCAAGCTCTGTGTGTGTGTGTTGTAATCACAGATTAGTTGTGTGGCGTTCTGAATAAGAAAAGCCCTGGCTCCTTCAGGGTAGAATGTATGTGTGCACAACCATCTCTCCCTTTTGCATCAAGTGTCAGATGAGCTTTGGTCGAAGAGCCTCATGGTCTGAGTTCCAGGCCCCTCCTGCAGCAGCGCTTTCAGCAGGGAAATGGCAGGAGGCTGGTATTCTAGATGAGGCTACATTGAAAGTTAGGCTGGTGCTCTAGACTGAAAGGCAGTGACTGTGGACTTTGTTTCTGGGAAGAGGATGGTGGAGGCCAATCACAATCTTCTTTCTGTGTTGTGTAGATCTTCATGTTGCAGAGGCACAGAATGGCATGTATCTCCAGCAAAATAAGTGTTAGGTGGGGGACTGGAAACAGGTGTGCTCATTGTATGGCTTGTGTAATAACCTTTTCCTATCCTAAGACTCGCTGATCACAACATGGTTGTGAAGTGACTAGTTCTGCCAGTTGTCAGTGCCGAGATGCTTGTGTATGTGTAGGTTTTTGGTGACATGGGTTCTCTCTCCTCGAGTAGCCGCCAAAGGGTAGCATGAAATAAATGAATGAGTACCCATTAGAGGTAGCAGTTCTGGATTGTGTCTGTTTTCTGGAACCAATACCTTGTATACTTGTAGTGTTTAATTTTTAAGAACTTCAGCTCTTCAGCAGCGCACATTATAAAGAAAAATCAAGATCAGCTTCATGTTGCTTTCTGATATTCTGAAGTTCCTGGATCAATTTGATGTGGCAGATGCATTGGTTAATTATATCCTTACATGCTCAAAGGAACTATCTATGAATTCATCAGCAAAAGTAGCAAATTCTGTAGTTTGCAGCTGGATATTTTTCTAGAAGGATAGATAAGAGTGCACTATATAAGGGTATATGCAGACAGTTCCCACACACAAAAGATAAAATCCTTCCAGGTTCTATGCCGTGTCAAAATTAATCTAAGAACCAGACCTCAGTCCTAAAATGATGAAAGTGGCTCAGGTCATAGAAGCCTTTATGCAGAAAAGTTGCAGAAAATAGGGATTTAAGTGCCCACTTTCTCACAGCATGGTAGATTGAGATACAATCGAGCCTTTAAGAAGTCTATAACATAGAACACACATCAGTTCTATGATAATGTGAATAAAAACTCTGTAGGGAAGAAGCTCTGCTGTGAAACTTAAATTGAGAAGGTTCAATATCGTGTATAAATACCTTGTAAAACTGAACAAGCTGACTCTTGATGAAGAACATAAAAGCCCCAAATAATCTGATGGTTTCCTCTCTCTGACTCTTAAAACACATAATCATCAGATAGGTGTTCTAAACCCAGTGCACACTAAAATCTCTAATTGGCTTAAAGCAGGGTGGGGAACTTAGAGCCCTGCAGATGTTTTGACCTACAGTTCTCAAGATCTCTCACCATTACCTGTGCTGGCTAGAGTTGATGGGAGTTACAGGCCAAAATATTTGGATGACCCCAGGTTGCCACCCCCTGCCTAAAGAATACCCTGTGCTCAGATTACATAGCAAATAATGGGCTTCAGAGATTTTGCCAGTTAGGGAGAGCTGAGTTCTGATAATGCCAGAAGGCATGTGGCAGTCCAATGAAGAGTGATCAACTCCGTCTGATGCTAAAAAAGGGAACATGGTTATTTTGGGTACAAAAGCCTGAGAGTTTGCAGTTCTTTTAAAAATAAATGACCTGACAGTTGCTGTGGGCTGCTTGCAGGAGAAATCGCAGCTTTACTTGTGACTCATGCTATTGAAAAGAGCAAACAGCAAGCACAGAAAATTCGTGCAAGCCTTGTTGGGTACTTGAAGGCTGCAATCCTGCACATATTTACTTCAGAGTAAGCCCAGTCAAACTCCATCAGACTTCTTTTGACAAGGCATGTGTAAGATTGCACTCTTAGGGTGGAAGCCTGAGCATGCATCTGCTGGACGCAATTGAGCATACATCTGCCTAACCATTCGTAGGATAGCTCTGTTGCAGTGCTATGACTTTCAGGAGAGTAGTGAATGAAAGGTGTTGCACCTTAAAGGACTAATACATTTACTGTATCATAAGCTTTTGGGCATAAAATTAGTGCTCTTCGAAGTGCCACAAGACAGGTTTTTCCTGTCAGGCTGTAACCCCATGCAACTCTTATGAGGGAATAAGCCTACTGAATTCAGTAGGACTTAACTTCTGATATATTAAAATGATAAAAGGAGGGTTTATTTCCTATAAAATATTTCCTTGCTTTAATTTAGTAACTTAGAGTAGCATTAGTGGATGATAGCAAGTGCTGGTCACACAGCCACATGTACAGCACAACCATGGCAACGAGAAAGGAACTATAGCTCACATATCCACATTCTTTAAGGTGCACAGTTGAGGTGTGGGAGGAATCTGTAATGGAGTCAAGTGAATTTGGATATGTGTGTGTGCGCACACACATCCAACCTGCAGATTCCACTGTGGACTGGATTTTTCTTGATTTGTTCAGATTTTGTGGACCACTTTTTCATTTTACTTTTTCATATTTGTTTTTTCTTTTACTTTGTATGCAATTTTAGTTGAATGATGCTGCTCAAGCAACATGCTGAAAAAGCACATTTCCCTGCATAGCTATTTCCCTTACTGGCTTAAAGCATGAGAATAATTATTTTGGGGAGATTTGTGCATTTTCACAAGGGCACATCAATGTAAGTGCATGCTTCCCAATGTAAACACAAGTTTGGGAAAATGAGAAAAACATGATTCTGTTCATGAGTGGATGATAGATGCCAGATGACAATAATCCACAAAACACAGACAGATGGATTTTGCTCAATCCATGAAACCCTAGTTCTGTCCTGGTCCTTGTTCAAGTGATAGTTAATTTGGAATTTACCAGATCTTCTAAACTCACCCAAAATTTTCTGACAGTTATGCAAAGGTCCCTTGAGCTGAAGCTTCATCTGGGCTATATCATAGAAACAGCGCGAGTCAGAAGGGGGCTTTCAGGCCATCCAGTCTGACCCCTGCTCCAGCCCGGCTCCGCCCATGACATGCATGCCATGTCCATGGCCAACGTATCCTTGAACACGCTTACGGATGGGGCTTCAGCCACCTCCTGTGGAAGCCCATTCCATACCCTAGAAGCCCTCTCCAAGGCTTGGAATGGCTCGTTCCCACCTGCTCCTGGCAGGAATTCCAAGGGCCTTTGCAGGGAAATTCCCATCCTCCTTTGTTGCTTTTGTCTGTTTGCATCTTTTTTTTAATGTTGGTCTGCATTGATTTGAAGAGCCACCTTGGGATCCGCTATAGGTATTATGCAGTCACACTGGTAGAACTCATCTGAGCATCACAGCAATCAGTAAGAGCTTTTAGTGCATTTTTTCAATACAGCAGAAATAGGAGCTTATTCTACCATGACTCAGTTGCCAGCCATTTCCAAAGTACATGAGGGGAGTGCTGACCATCAGGTTTTGTGAGAAGTGGGCTGAGGAAGAATCATGGTTAGAATCCAGTTGAGGAATGCCCAGCTCAGTTAGTGCAGCGCGGTGGAGGAAGGAGAGCAGCTGCCACTGGTGGGACCCTTTGATAGACACCTTAGCAGAGCAGAAGGAATGGCCACAGAGCCAGGCTGTATAATTAAGCAGTGAGGATGCAGGGAAGGGGATTGGAATGCTGATCTGCAAAAGGCACCTGTTGCTGCTGGCCAGAAGACCATGCTCTCCAGCAAATCTTGGTTCATTCATCAAATTCTTCTGTTCTGCTGCAGATACCTCTAGAGGAGTAGGTAATGCCTATTAAATAGGCAAACTAGGGGTATATTAATAAATGGACAAAGAGATAGGGAATCTGTAAGAACAGGGGAGAAATAAAGACAGAAGGAACAGAAGCACACACTTCTGGGTGTGCAGTGATCAATATTCAAACCCCCAAAACATGAAACAACATTCCCCTGCTAACACTCATGGTGGCAATGCACCTTTGTACCACAGATTTGCAGGGAGGCAATTGTATATTTTAAATTCTTGGGCATTACTAACATCCATGGTTCAAAGAAAGAAGCTGAAGAATCCCTACCACCCTAACCTAATCATAGACTAACCACAGAAGAATTTTCCAAATGGGCTGAAAATTCCTTAGAAGCACACTGTGACACTATTCCTAGTTTGCTTTTTAGTTTGCAACAAAAAGTACGGGTTAGGAAATGAACAGCAAAGGACATGTGGTAGGTTAGTGTGGGAGAGCCAAAGAAAGTACTAAGCACCTTCACCTTTTCCCTGGTGCTGTTCCTCTTCCATGCTTGTATGCATGGAAGAACATGAACTGCAGACATTGTTGAAGTGATTGCTCTGCCTTCTCCAACTCAAGCAGAGTTGCAAGTGGTTGTTCAAATGGCTCCAGGGCACAGTTTGGTGCAAGCAAATGATCTGTTGCAGGCTATGCAAGGAAGACAGTTGATTAGGCAGAAACAGAGGTGGGGGCAGGCTGGGGAGTTTAAGAGTTGAGTTACTACAGAATGGTGCTGTTGCAGAGAAGGGGAGCGGGAGGGGTGAGAAACTGCTGTAGTGCATTTGCAAGGATATGGCTGGTGTGGAACTTGTGCTTCTTGGCCTTGCCTTGATCTTTGTAAGGCCTGCCTACCTGCTAATGGTGGCAAATAGTTCCCTTGTCACACGCTCTGAAAACTTAAGGGGAAAGGTTGTTGACCCTGGTGCACTGCAGATAGTCCTGGGCCTCTGGACTTATCCAGAGAACAATGAATATGCCAGATTCAGTCTTAGGCCAGATATGTGCCTGAACACTCCAATGGTGTTGGGCTCTCTCCACCTCAGTTGTGGCTATAGATGCCTCATGCATCTAGTTTATTCTTGCAGTATTTGAGTGAGGGGAACTGGACTGCATTAAAATGAGGATGTGATTGATATTCACCTTTTCTACAGGATGCATTGTGATCTAATGGAAAGGGTGACTCAACTGTGCCCATTACTCTTCCTAGAGCAAATGCTGATTCTGGGCTTCTCTGTTCCCAGTCTGGGGGGCAGATGATGAGTCAGGGGTTCCCATGCACAGATAACTCCATTAATGAGGAGGATAGATTCAGGCTCTATTTATTAGGAGGAATAGCAAGCAACAGTGGAAAGTCTTCACAAAAGGGGGGAATTGAGCACAGATCCATTGCACAAATGTACACCTGGTCCCTGGGTTAAGAATAAGTTCTGTTCCTGAGGTTGTCTTTAAGTTGAATTTGTATGTGAGATCATATATATAAAAAGCAAATAAAACACTTAAGAAATATTTCCAGATACACTCAAACATCTTACATACAATACAGTGTTTTAATAATGATGCTGATAATACAGTAATAATAAAGTAACAACAGGCACAGGAGAGAGAGAGGTAGAATCTGAATGTATGTGTGTAGGTATACACACATACATACAAAACAGTTAAAACAGTTTAGAGAGAAAGATAGAAAAATAGTAAAAAGATTATTAAATGTTAACAATTTTTAAGCTAACATTAAGCCTAACATTAACTGGATGATGATGGAGATGGGACTGGTGTTAGAGGGGATGGACCTCATGCTGGGGAGTCAGGGTTTGATTGTGATGCTGGAGTGAGGTTACCACTGGAGTCACATTGTAGTGCTGACTTCACCTCTTGCTGACTGCTTGCTGCTTTCGGCCCTCCTCCTTCTCTTTCCCTCCTTTTTCTCCCTTCCTCCCTCCTCTTTTGCCACCTGGCACTTGTCACCTGCAGGTGCCCTCTTGCTGCTTGAGGATGAGGTGGAACTTCTGGGTTTGCTTGTTTATAATTAGGGGTTGTTCTTAAATGAGATGTTTCTAACTAAGGGACTAGTTGTAATGACATTTTACAGTAGGGTTATCCCTCCAGAATCTGTGGACTTCCTCCCAGGCTCAGCCTGCTTCTGCAAGTAAGCCAAGCCAAGGAGAAGACTGCAAACACTCATGGGCCACCAGTTGTGCAACCAGCAACCTTCCCCAGCCACCATTCCTGCTGCCCAACCTTATTCCTCACTTGCTGATGCCAGTGGCAGTGGCAGCTATGAAGAATGGCACTGCTTGTGAGGCACGTGGGGCTTGACGCCTGGCAAGTGCCTTGCGAATCCTGGACGTGCTCACCAGGGACTTGGACTCTGGGCTTGCCAGGTTTGAAGAGCACAGGAAGCCACCACGGGCATGAAGTTCCCTAAGCAAGGTCCTCAGGATGGCTTGACTGAGGAAAATGAGCTATCCTACTAAAACTGTGTCAGGTATGGATGACATGGCAACTCACCATGGCTGATCGCTCATGGCCATGTTGTGTCATCCAATCAGCTCACCATACATAGAATTTCGTGATAATGTTTTGAAAATGCTGAAAAGATCCCATAGTAACATGTAGTTTCGTCTGTGTTGCACAAGAAAAGCAGCTTCATTGGATCTCATCCAGAGGTGTGGAATAACCCTTTTATGAGTGGACGAATACCTCTGCATTTCTCTGTCATGGTCATGCTTTGCTCACACAACCCTTTTCTAAGGGATTCAATTGGAACCCACCTCAAGTTAATGAGAAGGCTTAGCACATGGCATTTTAAGTATTTCTTTAACCAGGTCCTCATTGAAAAAGTGTATGAAAAATCCTAAGGTTAGAAAGGCAAGCAGTTTATAAGCACAAGGTGTTAAAGATACAGTACTGAAAAAGCTAGAATCTAAGGAGGGACACAAAGGGAAAAATGCATTCCTTTTGCATGTAATGTGTGTTGAGATACAACTAAGTTGAAGAATGGATGAACGCAGGAACCCACATGGGCTGTCTTTTGTCTTGCAGACCCCAAATGGATTGCTGTTGACCCCAAGCCCATTGCTTTCTAGCATTCACTTCTGGAGCAGCCTTAGTCCTGTCGCTCCTTTGAGTCCTGCCAGGCTGCAAGGACCAAACACTTTGTTTCAGGTAGGTTGGACTAACAGTAACTGCACTCTTTCAGGTGGATCTTGCTGCAAGGTAGCCAGATAAACCATTAATACTGCTATTTTGAACAAGAAAACTTTCCCTTCTCCAAGGAAAGAAGAGCTTCAGTAGAAAGCTGAGGCAAGCAGTGAAGGTGTCAGATGGCAGGAATTGTACATGACACATTGAGAAATGTTTACAAATTGCACTCAACTTTTCAGCATAGCTTTGGGATCTTGAGTTCTTGGAAACTCAAGATACCCATTTTTCCATATATTTCCCTTCAAAAAGGGGAAAATGTTGTAGATATAAACATATCAGCCCCATCACCTGGAATTTAGCCTCTGGGTTCACTTGGTTGACACAGGAAAAACTGGGCTGACCAATAACAGGAAGCATAAGCAGATCTGTATCAGGGAAGCACCCGGAGCAAGCAGAGAAGTACCAACTGCAGATTTACCAATTCAGTCCTCAACTATCAAGCGTGGTAAGGCAGTATATGCCCCATACAATTAAGTTTGTAAGGTGTTTAGCTTTTAAAAGTAAGCATCTGTAGCAACATTGCTGTGCTGTGCTATCTGTAAGTAGTCACGTTTGTGTTGTCTTGTTTTGCCACTTTGTATCTCCACTTGTTTTCCTTGGTTTAAAAAAATTTAAAATGTGAAGAATTTGTGTTAATAAGATATTTGGTAGCCTTATAGCTCTCTGCTGATCACAGTCAGGCCAGAGTCCTATTGCTAACTGAGGTCATTTTTAAAAGGAATTTTAATGTCTATATTTGCTCTTCACCATCGGATGCATGCATGCATTCCCTCCCAAAACTGCATACGTGCACTCAAAGTGCTCTGTACCACAAGGCACTCCCACTAAAACACCAGTTGCCACTTATAGCAGGAAAACAAACCCCAAAGCAGAAATCCAAAATGACATTGGGTTGGCCTTAACCAAAAAGCGGGAGAACTAAGAAGAAGGCATTGAAGAGGAAGAGCTGCAAACAGTTCCCAAATTGACAGAATACAGTACGCTTAGGTAAACAAGATTTATACCAACAATGTAATATAATAAAAAAGCTCTTTCATAACAGTTCTCTCTCTCTCTCTCTCTCTCTCTCTCTCTCTCTCTCTCTCTCTCTCTCGTGCACACACACACACACACACACACACACGAGAGAGAGAGAGAGAGAGAGAGAGAGAGAGAGAGAGAGAGAGAGAGAGAATGGAATGTATATTAGATTCAGAGAATCTGAAAGAAAATATACTCTGTTTGCTCCAGCTCTTGGATGGACACCAACAGCTGCAAAACCTTGAGTTGTTAAAAACAGAAGATACTCAGTTTCCAATACATATGACCTCCTCACAGCAGTCCTCCTATACTCTTTTGCCTTACATAAACACTTTAGCATATTGTTATTCTGAACACTTGATCAAAGACATCCAGTTAGGATCAGATCAAAGTAGCTGTGACATATCCAGTAGGGAGCGCCAAACACCCCCAGCAACCATTGGTAGGAACTGGAAGTGAAAAGGGGATGCAGATCCATCACATCATGGGGTTTTATTTGACTAGTGAGCAGCTCAAAGAAAGGCCAGGATGAAAAATCTATCAGCACAGGGAAAGGTGTTCTTTCTGAGAACCAAACAAAAAATGGCAACAGCAGCTGATCTTGAACCTGATCCAGTTAATTGAGTATTTTACTACAAAGGCTCACTGAAGATTGCATGCTGCCTTCCATTCTTACAGGTATGCCCTTCCTTGATCATGAGTGCTTTGAGGGTAGACTACTCCTATTCTAGAAGCAGGTTTGGTAGTAAGCTGGATACTTGGATGGGCAAAGCATAGATATCTAAGCTTAATTTTCCTGACAAGGATGAATCATTCCTAGTCACAGGATGCCCATTTCCACTTTCCAATATTGACAGAAGGGTAGCTTTTAAAGTCTAGAATAAACTTGCTTCACCCTCTTTCAAAAGCCCAAATCCCTTTTGGGCATGTATTTATAAGGAGGTAGCTAATAGTGTGTTTTTCTGTTTATGAAGAAGTATATACGCCTCCCCTCCTTCGTGGGGAGAATACGTCCTCTGATGAGGCAGAGTGGACATGAAATGGGTGTCTGTGCTGTTACAGGATTGCAAATGTGTTTGGTCACCTCTGGGGTCACATGAGGGAAGTTCCACATCTGCCTGTTAGAACAGGAAAGTAAGGTTGCAGGTTTAGTCTTAGTATTACAAGGGGAACTGGATTACAAGGAAGAAGCTGGGCTTTCTCTGAGTTCTAGTGGAACAGGAATTTCTCTCCCAGCCTGCCTTACTTCCTGTATTGGAGTGATGAGATAGCCCACAGGGAGGTCAAGAAGAGGGGTGTTCAGCTCCTAAATCCCACCCACCCCCTGGTCTTTCTGATATTAAAATTAGATCTCTCCACCCCACTTTACACATGACTGAGCAGTCATATTTGCAGTTGCATGGAGAACAGTTTGGCTGCTGCTGTCACATTTGCTTTGGAGCATGGAGATCTGTACTGGTAAAGCATACATTGGCTCAAGCAGAGCTAATTAGATTCATACAAGGGAGGCCTACTAGGAAGTTGAGTGACGTCCGGACAGAGGAAGCTTGAATGGTGAGTTACAGCTGCAAGAAACTCTTGGGAACAACAGAAAGAAGGGATAGCCCTGGTCTCCAGAACTAAACTGGTGTAGTTGTTGCTAGACAAAGGAAGCGTGATGCTCTTATTTTTAAAAAAAAGACACGGTGCAATCTGCTTATTTAGAGGAGCTGGAAAACAGAAGACTGGATGAGCGGCTTCAGCTCTTATCTGTTCCCATATGTTCTGCCTAATTTAAGGTTGTGAAACAGCAGTTTATTCATATTAGCCCAACGAATTCTTGTTTGAACTGGGCCTTGAATGCAGCTTTTCCATAGCTAACACTCTTCTGCTCTTCCAGCAAGGCAGAGAGGTAGATTTCCATTTACTAATAGCCACACTAAATGTTTGTTGCATATGCAAAAGGAATACTGCGTGGGATAAAACTCCCAGCATCTAGGATTGCACAAACAATTAAACCTTCCTAGATTGGGGTCTTCATGTACTAACCTCATAAAATGGTCAGCTTGATTAGTGGCAGTCATCTAGTTGTGGGGATCTAACAGGAAACAGATGCTGTTAAGACCTGGACTACAGTGACTGCCCTGCTCAACTAGATCAAGCAAAAATGGTTAAAGTAGTTCAGCACTTTTTTTCCAACACTGGCCAAGCACATGCTTTTGGAGCTTACAAAGCAGAACACTAAGGCGAGTGCAGCAGCAGCAACTGTAGAGGTATGCTTTTAGAGGTATCCCTAGAGGTATCTGTTCTGTGAACAGAATGGTTCACAGAATCAGGAGCAGGGAAAGTCATAGCTTTTCTATCCATATTATTCTTTGATTTTTTAAATTTTTTTTTGCTAGATAACAAGATTATTTGTCAAGGTAAAGCAGCTTGACAGTGGGGTGGACTTCTTTGACATCTACTTAATCACCGTAGGCAGCCTTATTTAAATAGTAGTATCATAAATGCAGTGAAATGCTGATTGGTTCACCTATTTTGAGTGAAGGAGTTAAAAAAATCAATTTACACATCCTTAAAATGGCAGGAGTTCCTCCTATTTATACTAGAGGGAGAGAGAGTGGCACTCCTGCCAAAAATTGAGCTTAGCTAGGAAAATCCTCTGACTACAGGCACCGAGCCCATATTTGTGATGCACAGAGATTTCAAAGAACTGGACCTCAAGACCTCTTTGTGCTTCTGAAAACAGCAGTTGTCCTGTTAAATACCAGCGATCTTGGGGACAAGATAGGGAGAAATGAGCATTGTAAGCCACCCAGAGAACCTTCAGGTTATGGGGCAGCATAGAAATGGAATTAAATAATAGTAAGTAACAGAACAGCCTGCTGTTTGCTCAGCTTCCTTCAGGAACTCCTTACTCTCACAAAGAGTGCAGGTGTTGCTACAGAACGTAGACACTTCCTTTTGGCACATGGGCCAAAGGAGCTGGGTTCGTGAAATAATTTATCCTAAGTTGGGATACAGGTAAAACAGCTTCTGTTTCCCAGCATATGGAGAGGAGACAATTCTGCAGCAGGCAGCATACTTCAGTGGCTCAGGTTAACTGGCAAAGCCTCTTGTGGAATCTAATTAACTCACTGTGGGTTTGAAAGCTTGCAAGTATAATTAGGGCAATGAGAGACTTGTTCGGAGCTGCAGTTTACTGGGCAAAAAGGGTCTAAGCTATAGCAGGGATATACAACTGGATTTTACAGGCATCGTCAACAGGCGACAGATGGATGCCTCTGGACAGCCAGAATTCATGCCATTATTTATTTATTTGGTTATTATATGCCTCATGGCTGCACCAGACTGACCCTAGGGAAGACTCTGGGTTCTGTCAAGTCAGGCAGCATGTAAACACACGAAGCAAAGAGCACATTCGTAAGAGCCAGAACTCTGACAAGACATGGCAAGTAAAAGAACAAATGCTGTGATGTGCTGCAGAATGACGTATTAGGCAAATGAGGACAATTTGCATAACTGTAGGTAAGCTCAGCACATACGTTTCTGGGTACTGGATAAATCTTGATTTCTTCCATCATGGAACCCAAGGCAGTTCACTGAAGGTTCCCACAAGGCTTTTCATCCAGGGTGCAGTGAGGCCCAAGGCTCCTTATCTTCAGTGTGCTGACATCCATGTGTCGTCAGACATTTCATCAATGAGATGCAAAGGACACAATGATGCCTGAATTGGCAAACCGTAGTTTGTAATGGATTGATACATTAGATTAGGAAAGTGTGATCTGAAGTGGCGTTTTGTTGAGCGTGATAACCTGAATTTTTGGTAATTCAGGATATCATGCCAAACAGTAATGCCTCTACCTCCAGAAGTTGCTGTACCACGGAGACTGCAGTGAACTTATGAATCCAAATACTAAGGAGAGAAAAGTAAAGCTACCAATTCTAAGCTATGGTTTGCCTGATGTACACTTGGAAACTTAAACCATGGCTTTCATGATGTCTGAATTGAGCCATAAAATGCGTATCAGAGATCATAAAAAGTTTTCTTTGTTCCTTTTGCAGTTCCCAACTCTGTTAAATGGTCACATCCCAATGCAAATTCCCAGCTTGGATGGGGCCTCTTCTCCAGTTCTCCTTTCTCCAAATGCTCATAAATCCTGATGTCTCAAGCAAATTAAGGACTCGCTAACAAACTGGATTTAACACAGCCACTCTGATGGGTTCCATTTTTCTGGTGACACCAGGAGGACATGATGAAACCCTCTTTTCCTATGGTTTGCACTTTTCATTACATGGATGATCTACTTGTATGATGTTTATTTAGCATTTTTAAACAGTGGGGTTTTTTGTATAAGAAAATCTGTTGTGCATTAAAAATGAGTTATAATTTTTTATATCCTCGCTCTCCAAGTGTTGAACACTGTTTGTTAATGAAGTACCTTTCTTAACAGATTTCAAAACAGTATCTAAAGGATGTGAACTTTTAAATTCTGTATTTCTGCATTTTATGCACCATGTTTGTGTAAACTGTAACCGGCTGTGCCTTCTTTTGCATAATGTTATATAAATGGTTTATATATATTTCCAGTATTAAGATAAAGGTTGAAAAGGAACCAAGTATTGAACACCCCTGCCCCCTACTAGTGTTTCAGTATTTCCCTTCTGGCAGGCCATAATGGTGCAGTGTATTCATGTAATTTTGAATTAAGTGCTTTCCAGTTATATAAAGAATCCTATTTCCTTGCTGAATTGAGGGGCCATAATAAATGTTTTGGCCAGTAACTGCATTTAAGAATAGGACACTATTTAGATATAGGTGCTTGAATCCTTCTCTGTGGTAAGAGGAACATAGCCCTAAAATATCTACATATTTTGAGGGCATTCTTGAATTAGAGAATATAACCTTGCTCAGTACCATTCATTTTCATACATTCATCAGATACTTAGAAGACATTTCAAACTGATCTTTATTTTCTTGACCATCCTCAAGGCATCAAACCTTTCAGGATTTGTTTTAGGGGTATTGTTAATCAGGAATGGGGAGCAAATGGCTCCAGTTTTGCACGACCAAAGGTTTAAAAAAAACATAGGAAGCTTTTGAGCACTTTGGAAGGGTTTCTGGTGATCATGATTGCCAAAATGATCAGTTTAAACTTGTGGTGAGTTTATCAAAAACCATGAAGCAAACACGATGATACCCAGAACAATGCTTAGAATAATGCTTTCAATATTCCTTTTTCCTGTATTGACCTGATATTTGAATTTGGAGATTTAACACCAGGGCTCTCAGACTCACCAGCAGGTCAGACCAAGTAACGGAGCTTGTCAAAGCAAATGCCACAACTGGTTCTCTGAAGATGAATTACAACATGAGAGGAGAATCATACAAGTGTGCGTAGTATTATCAAAGTAAGGCTGTTGTGTGCATCAGCTACAATCTGCAAGATAGCCCATGCATGCAGATTTTATGAATATTTGAACTACATCCAGAGAGAGAAAATATTCAAGTTAAATGAAGGATCCCAGCTGATGTCATCTGCCCAGATTTGCTCATCTGATGATTCATATGAGCTGTGGTGCTAACTCTATGCAGAGCCAACTTAATAATACAACCTAGCTTGAGAGGTGCTGATACTGTTGGTCTAGAAATACACAGACACTCTGGTGCTGTAGCAGGAAAGATAAAATTGGGGCCTTCTGGGCTGTCAAATTGAAACCTACATAAGTGTCTTCAAACAAAAGATACCAAATGACTAGTGCACTGCACTGGTTCTTGTCGCATTTCACATGCTTTCACATTTCACATTGTATCACAGCAAAGCTTAATCTTTATTTTTTTCTCCCCTTCAGTTTTCACATTCAGTATGATGTTCTGTAGATTTTCCCATCTATGTTCACCACCCTCTTCTCTCTTTTCAGGATGCCTGATTTCCAATTGCCAGTTGCCATATTCTAGAAAACACATCACTGAATATGCTCTTTCTTGGCACTTAGAACTCTATTGACAAGTTCTTGGGGTATCTGGACACCCTATTCTGAATATGCTCACTTCTACAGACAAATCTTCCTTCTTGATTCACCCGATAACATATTCTGTTTACGTTTTCAATGTTGTGCTGCCTTGTCTACCTTGAATTGCAGGGAACCAAAACAGCTATTACGCACCTGGGGAACAGTGACTACTAAAACATGTATCTTGCTAACATCTTAAATTCTGGTGGATGATGGAACTTGATGAAGAGCCACCATAACAAGAACCTTTAAAAAGATCAAGGACCAAACATAAGCACTACACTTTTCTGTAATTTGCAAAACAAGAAATGCTCTAAGCTTTAGCAACCTCCACTCTAAAGGGAGTAATATAAAGGCATACTAAAAGGAGTAATATAAAGATATATTAACATACTAGCTGTGGTCTAGAGACCTTGATAGTTTCCATTACTAAAAGAGAAAAACTAGCACTAACAGACCAACTATTTTGTAGCAATGGTGGTTTGTAAATAAAATGGTAGATATTACGTACTAATCCATGCAAAGTAAACATGAATTTCAAGGTAGAAAGCTTGGAAGACTGCTCATTAAGTAGTTTTCTGGCAAATATCTATGGCCTCTGAAAGTTTTGGGAAGGCAAACACTATAATAGCAGTGCACTGACAATTAACAAGTTTGGTCTTCAATTTATGCAGGTGAATACATCAAATCTAGACTGTGTACTTTAAGTGCCTTCTGGTTTGAATGGACCAAGATGAATGAAATCACTGCGTCTCATTTAGCTAATCTTAAGTGACATTGATATTACAATGTGGTTGTAACATTTGCATCCAAGAAGAGAGTAGCATTGGAGCCAACCTTCAGATTCATTTCACATAGCAACGGGGATAGCATTCTTCCTTTGCAGACAGTTATGAGCTACAAGATATATATGGATGCATGCCATCCCCAACGTAAACTTTTACATTTGTTCTGTAAAACTGAGCTGATGCCTTGCTATTGTTCATATTTCCACTGTGGCATCTTTCCACAAATCATGAAGAATTTTTCAGTCTTGCCAAGGTCTTCACTGAGCTTTTCACAATAGAAGAGTGTAATGGAAACAGTGCTGTGATCATGATACCATCAGTGAAACTTTAGACTATCATTTGATTGCTGACTGATTCATTGCACAGAAAAAACACATGCTATTCTTCATGGGCTTTAGAAGGAGATGAGGGATTCCATTTAACAACTTGTGGGCACCTGGAAAGACACTAGGCATTTATCAAGGAAAGTACATCTTTATCTGGTTGCTATTTAAGGAAAAGAGATTAAAGTGATTTTGAGTATGTGACTATTACTGAAAATTCATTTTCTGCAGGAAACATTTCCTGAATGTCAGCACCTGTCTCTTTAAATTTTAACCATACAATTGTTTTTACCTGTTTGCTGTATGAAATATCAGAGCACATCAAGCAGTCACATTTGCTACATAAAGATTACTGTCTCAGCCTCAAGGGAAGTATGTAGGAGACCCAAGGGTTACAAGAGAACACTACTATACCTCAACATGGATGTCATTTAACATTCATTTGTGACATTCCATCAAAATAAAAAGAGGAGCTCCTCTTCTCTTGGAGATAAAGGCTCTCATTCTGAAGCATGGAAACCAAATAAGGTAAAGTTCATTATATATAAAAGGCTGATACTACTCTCTGTACCAGTGCACAAGAATTTTGGTCTTTGGACATGCAGCAAACAATATTTGTTGTTCACAATCATTTCTCACAAAATATTTAACTCTGAGAGTTCATATATTCATCTTTGACACACAAGTTCATACATATTGTGGGACAGAAAAGATCAAATGTGAGAAACTTAGGTTGCAATTAGAAATGGTATTTCTGAAGGTATCTGTTAGTAACGTTGTAGTGGTCAGTAATGATGGACTGAGCAAGGTATCTACAGCCCAAAATATCCATTAAATCTGCTTTTCCAACACAAATGTCCTCTAAACCGGAGAAGTACTTTGATTATTTTAATTCACTCTTTGCATTTGTAAACATTGGAATATCCTCCATATATTTACTTAACCTACCTCACAGGGCTGTTGTGAGGATCATTGATATCTGTACAATGCTTTAGAAAAAAATTAAAAGATTATGTATGTGGCAAGTAGCATTATTGAGGACAAAAATCAGTAGGTGAGAAACCATAGACTTGTTATAGATCATGAATTCTTAACATGATCTTGTTTACATAGTCTAGCATTTGATACTTTCCTTTTTTTTTTTTTTTTGCTTTATTTATGACACCAGTCTCTTCTCTACTGACTGTGAGGATTTTGTTGTAGTCTAGCAGTTCTCTCAGTTATCCGTCTTTAAGGATAGTTGACCAGAGTTACAAGAATTTCCAGTCAGAATTCCATTTGGCTACTTTTTATACAGAAGGCTGACTTGAGATTCCTTTCAGTGGAACTCTACTCACAGGACACTTCTGATGAAGGAAAGCCAAAGGAGGCATGTTTGTCGATTCTTCCTTACCCCTGCATCCAGCTGAAAAACTGCTTTGGAAAGTGGAACTATCTGGAAATGGTGGTGAGCTGTAGAGGGATCTGGCAACATTCTCCCTCTGACTAAATGCTCTAGTGGGAGCCTACTCTGGATCTTTATCCCTTTCATTTGTAGAAGGAATCTTTCCATATATAAAAGGGACTCCATGCCATATATGAATAGATCAACATTATGAATAGACAAAATACTTACAGACTATGGGCAGTATCTACGCAACACCACTGCTAATGTAAATTGCACTGTTTTGGGTAAACACTAGTACTGACATTGCACTAGAGCTCATTTATGCTAATACAACATGATTTCTGTTAGTGCCATGTTGGATATTGCCCAAACCTGTAATGAGATGAACATCTTTTGGAATATTAACTGTACTTGCAAAAAGTAAAAAGCAACTCCTGAGATAAATTAGACATTTAAGGGTCTCAGGCTCAGCTTTTATTATAAACAATTTAAATCCCTGAAGATTGATCACTTGAAAAAAATGCAGGCAGGTCCATCAGAAACAAAGAGATAAATTGTAACATATGTTTTCCAGTCCATTTGATAGAACAACTCTGTCAATACCCAATGTGCAATTTGGCATCCCACATGACACAGAATAGTACAAATAATAACAACACATAATAAAATGATAAAATTATAAGCAGTTTGCAGATTAGCCATAGCTCATGGTGTGTTCTTGTGCTGAAACTGACCTATATTCTACTCCCATCCCAAACAGAATTTGGTCCTTAATGATAACAGCTTGGTTACCTTTGCCTTTTATTTATCATCTACATTAAATTGGAATCTGCTGCTGTTATTATTGGTACAAAATAACACACATACATAATAAGCTACATGGAATTAGCCATTTTTAAAAAAGAAGCCTGCTTGCTAACTTCTGCAGAAATCTGCCTGGGCTCCAGGAAGCAGTGAGTACAGAAGGACACTGTCTGAGCTGTCTACATTCCATTGTTTATCTAGATTAGAATGCTTCTTCCTCCCACTTGTTTACTGCCACCTCTTGCTCCCTACAAAGCAGGACTGCACAAGGACATCCCCAATCCAAGAAACAATAGTCCGATGTTATGTCCCCTTCGAAGAGGGACTAGAATGCAGAATCATTACTACAGCTACACCTGCAAACTTGATTTGTAAAAGTTTTCACTTGATCAATATGCTAGTTTACAATTACATAACTGTCATAAAACATTCAAAGACAATTAAGGATTTCCATATAATATTTATACTTTCAAAAGTACAATATTAATACAGGTCCATCAGTTAGAAATAACAGCAGTTTGTTAGCTCTACAGGGCTTCATTAACGTAAAACCAGCTTACAAATGTTGAAAAGCAGCAGTGGTCCAATAGTCACCATTACACACAAATTTGTCATATCTTCCGGAAAATAATAATAAAAAAGTTCCAAAATTCAATTTACTAGTATCATGAAATATTAATAAAACATCCCAAAACATGCCACAATCACTATTCACAAATAAAATTAAAGAAACATACATTTTTTTCACTTAATACTGTTAAATAACAATAATAAACTACAAAATTTCCTGAACAGAAATGGTAGGACCCCTGAATGTTTTACAGTGAACATCAGGAAAAAATTAAGTTATCTATGACTATTTTTCATGATATACCAGCCAAAGATTTACATAACCATTTGAAAATATACCAATAATGATTTACAGCCTCTTGAAGATGCACTAAACAAATAGGTTCAGAAAGGCGAACACAAATGCTTAAAAATACTGTTACTATCACCAAGAGGTACTTATGATACTCACTGAGATGCATAAGCTTAGTAGTAACATGTTGACTAGCTCCAATAAACAGATAACATCTAAAATCTTTAAAACCCTCTAAGTTCTCATGCTTTACAAAGACTGCAGTATGGAGTGATATCTTCCCTGCTATGCACTTGCGCTCTTCCAGTGGATTTCCAGGGAATATATAGTCACAGAACAGCCATGAAAGCAACGCGTGTGGGGTGAGTAGAAAGAGACAAAGCCACACTGCTCCTGCATTTTTGTTTTAAGTCATTGGAACATCAGGGAAAATACACTTCCAAATCAACCCAGGAAAGAATGCATACAAAATGTTCTTCAAAGTGTTTAGGTTAGAAAAAGATATAGAAGGGTGGCAGCTGCATTAAGAGTCACATGCACATGTTTTCTGCCATGAGAGCAAACTCTGATGACATTCGTAAGCAAATCCGCAGGAATGGACATGGAACCTGATTGCATGTAACAGAGGAACCATTTTTCACCTGTGTGAATAAAACCATGTTCTAAAAGCTTTAAAAAGTATTTTGCAGTATTTTAGTTACTTTTCATCTAATGTTAACATAAGAAATTTATGGGCCAAGAACTTAGGAGCATTAAAGACAAATGTACCTATTTAACAGTCCAGAAAGCTATGTTTGCATTCCAAGAAACATTGCAGTTAAAAAGAAGATATAAAACTGCAGCAATAATTCATGAAGAGAAACAGATGCATTCACATATTATATAAAGCCATTGCAACTTCTGCAGGCATTCAATTGTTTGTTAACTATACAGACAGTAGTTATTTAGCAGCAATGATTCCGCAATAAATAATGCACTGTGTTTCTCAGTCCTGCACAAAAATTGCAGCTACTGTTACATTAACAGTTGTAACCTACTGGCTCTAACGGCAGAGGAGACCTTAAAATTGACTGTACAAAAATTTGTCACACTGTGACAACAAATATAAAAACATAACCAGCAGGTCTGAAATAAAAAGACTGCACTGCAAGGAGGACAGTGTAGACAAACAGAGTTCAAGTCCACCAAGGAAGGAACTGCCTTCAGACTAGAGTCCTTGATGGATGTAAGACAGTCTTGGGCTTGACACAGCATTGCCAGCCTCAGAAAAGCATGCTTTGCCTTCTGTTCTTCCCATGTCCTAAAACAAAAAACGGGGATTTTGTTAAGGAATTCAAGCCAATTCATGGCTCCCACTCTCACACGCCAAGATCCTTGAGTGTTTGAGCTTCACAACAGATGGCAGAAAGACTAAGAATGGTTTTATTGGGGTTTTTACTTCTGTTTTATACCGTAGCTTTAAACTTATGTTCTACTTTATGACCTACAAGAAGATTCAGCTGCTAGATGGTATAGAAATGAATAAATCAGCAAGCAAGCAGTGCCTGTATGTTTATCCTTATAGCAACTCTCTCATGACTCCCCTATGAAATGTGCCCAGCAAGACACTGCAAACTGCAGTAGCTTGAAGCTAAACAAATAACTGTTTTCCTCAGTTTAGTTCCATTAACTCCAATAAAAAACTCCATAGCTGCAAAGTGCTTAAAACAAACACACCCCAGAAAATGTTTGAAGAATCCAAGTAATTCCAGTTATTCTCTTTCAAGGCACTGACATTACAATCTACTAACCCTCCAGCTAGACCAAAACAGAAAACTTAGATGCTAACATACCTGTCTCTGGATAAGTGGAATTTCGAAAGCCAGGATCTTTCTGAAGTTGAATTTCTTTTAAAGTGAATATGGACACACCTGAAACAATATGGGAAGCAATATGTTACCTCAACAAAAGCCTTTCTTTTAAAAAGTACAATATTGTGTTCAGAAGCTGCACTAAATAACAAGAGAAGCAAACACAGGGACTTTTTAAAAGATGGAGAATTTCAGGTTATAAGAGCTCTAGGCTCCTAGCAACGAAACACTTATGAATCAATAAGGTAAAGTAGGAAAAAATGCTGCCTTTGACCCCTCACTGCTACCCTCAACCCCAGATGGACAAAAGCAGAAAGAGCAAACAGCCCAAGCTTGCTTGACTGGTCCTGACCAGCAGAGGAACCCGATTATGGGAGAAAGTTTTCCCCTAGAAGCCTAGTGAAAGACCAATGCCTTTTCATTCAAATCCAGCTGGACTGAGGTGGACATCACTTTTTGACTCAGTGCAGTCTTTAGAAAGGTTTTTGGGAAAAAGCAGCCAAGGAACATTCCAGCCAAATAAATAGGAAATTTCTTCACTCCAAACAAGGTTCCTGACTAATATCAGTGACAAAGTGGTATGTGCTTACTTTCTGGTAGAGTATGTATCCTTGTTCCAAGACTTCTAAAATAGGCATGCTTCATGGCTTCTTCTGCCGAAATTCTTCTCTTTGATTCATACTGTTGAGGCAAAATGACAAGTCAGTGGAATAACTCATGCTTGAAATCTAAAATATCAAGTTCAAGTGTAAAAAATCTCAAGTTGTAAAGCAGTTCAGGCAGAAAGGCTGAGAATCATTCCTGATACCCTGGTAAACTTCTGCCTGTTTGGGTAGACAATTTGCCTTAAATTAAGTGAACTGTTTCTCCAGCTTTGCCTCTGGAACTAAAATATATCCTAAAAGCAGATGAAGTCTGCAACCAGGTAGGTACTGAAATGCTTAAATAAACATCAGGAGTAATTACTTCAACTTGGAGAATGAGTTGGGTTACTTTTAATTCCAACTACAAATGGTCTATCACATTAAAATATGAATAAAGCTGCACAGATATGTTTGGCAACGTATCTGTAAAATCCAACACGTTGCACTAGCCTGCTTTGCTTGAGTCTGCTCCTTGCTCATTCCTTACCTTACAGTGATTGCACATGGTGGTGTCCCCCACCCCGCGATTTCCATCAAATCCTCCCTAGCCTTTCTCCACAACTATTCCCTCAATGGGTGGTTTTCTGGCATTTGTGCAGTTTCCCTCCCTAAGAGGTTGAAATGCCTCTCCTAAGGATTTGTTATTGGTAGTAAGAGCTGTAACCTAGTGGGAGTTTTTAAATTTTGCCTTTAGCACTGCCCCTTTGCCTTCAGTGCTCTCATCACTAGAACTTGTCCCCTGAGAGCTTATTCAAATCTGAATTTGGAAAGGGGTTCTTTCCAACTCCTGTTCTGGAACAACAAGGAGGGTGATGAGAGAGAAGAGGGAAAAAAAGCAGGTTGCTTACCTGTAACTGATGTTCTTCAAGTGGCCATCTGTGCATTCACACATATAGGTGCTGCGCCTGCGCAATGCCTAAGGCCGGAAGACTGAAAGCTAACGGTTTTTGGCGGAAAACTCCACTCCCCTCCCCCTCCACAGTATATATAGAGCGGAGTGTCCGCCATTTTACTCAGTCTTTGAAGACCGATCGTTCACCCCCTTGTGGGAGAGAAATACATCACAGAATTATCATCGGTACCGTGAATATTAAGATATGGTACCGATGAGGAAATTCACTCACCGACACCGAGCGGGGCCAGCAGGTGGGTTGTGTGAATGCACAGATGCCACTTGAAGAACATCAGTTACAGGTAAGCAACCTGCTTTTCTTCGTCGTGGCCTCTGTGCATTGGTTTTGAAGCAAGCTTACCAGATTCTGAGGAGGGAGGTGTCGTCACTGAAGGACAGCAGAGAGGACAGCTCTACTGAAAGAGCAGTCTTGTCTGGCACACACATCCAGTCGGTAATGTTTTACGAAAGTGCATGGAGCAGCCCAAGTTGCAGCCTTGCAGAGTCTATTGGAGTGTCGAACAGATTCAGTTCGCGATCTGTAGAAGGCTAAACATCGTCTCACATCAAGAATATGTAAAGATCTTTCGACTGGGTTCAACGGTGATGGGAAGAAGGCTGGCAAGACGATCTCCTGATTCATATGAAATGGAGTAGCAACTTTAGGCAAAAATGAGGGATCCATATGAAGAACAACCTTCTCCTTATGGAAATTCAAATAAGGAGGGTCCACTCCAAGGGCACACAACTCAATGGCTCTTCGAGCTGATGTGACCGCTACAAGAAAGGCTGTCTTCCATGAAACAAGGTGCAAATCTATAGTTGCCAAAGGTTCAAATGGGGCTCTAGTGAGTGCTGAAGCACCACTGAAAGACTCCAAGTAGGCATAACTGGTCTGATTGTCGGATGAAGGTTTTGAAATCCTTTAAGGAATCTTTTTATCAGTGGAAGTGAAAAAATGGATGATCCATGTATTGTACCACGGTAGTAAGAAACTGTAGCCGTGTACACCTTTATAGACGACGGTTTAAGTCCTGAATGATGAAGTTCTAGAAGAAACTGAAGAATATCCTCTGTCGATGCCAAATGTGGAATGAATGAACAAGACTCGGCGAAAGAAGAGAATCGTCACCACTTTGCTGCATATGATCTTTGGGTTGACAGCCTCAATGCAGATTCGAAAATCCTCTGAATTTCCGAAGGGAGAGCTGTTGATCCCGATGGAAAGTCCATTGAACCCGATGGAGTAGCAGGAACCAACAGTTCCGAAGCAGTAGTTTGAGTATCGAGCCAATGAGTTTGATCCCCGGAGGGGCTAGATGCTGTTGGTATCGAGTCAGTATCGACTTTCAGCGGATCCGCCAGGCCGTGAGTTTTAGCGATGCTAAGTCCGGGTGGCGGATGGTCCCTTCTTGTTGTGTTATTAGATATGGGACTGATGGAAGATGAAGAAAATCGTTGTGAGACATGCAGAGAAGCGTGGAGAACCATGGCTGGTGTGGCCACCACGGGGTTATCAACAGTCCTGTGTCCTCATTGTGAGCAACCTTCAATACCACTTTCATTATGAGTGGGATTGGAGGGAAAGGGTAGAAATTCATGTTGTTCCAAGGGATCATAAAAGCATCCCCTGCAGATCCCAAACAGATTCCTGCTCTCGAGCAAAAAGTTCTCGCATACTCTGTTCTGACGGGTAGCAAATAAGTCCATGTTGGGATGTCCCCAACGTTGAAAGATTTGATCACAGATTTCTCGATCCAATTCCCATTCGTGGGATGTCGACATTTGTCTGCTCAGTAGATCAGCTTCCACATTGTCTGTACCGGCTAGATGAACCGCTATGAGAGTAATGTCCCTCGGGATACACCAGTCCCATATTTGCATCGATAGTTGAGCCAAGGCAGCTGACTTCGTTCTGCCCTGCTTGTTCACGTAGAACACCGCGGCAATATTGTCTGAAGTTATGTGAACAATCTGATGTCGGAGCATATCCTCGAAGGATCGTAGAGCTTTGAATATTGCCAATAGCTCAAGGAAGTTGATATGTTTTTTCGATTCCTGTTGGTTCCAAGCACCCTGAGTGCGAAGAGTGGAACATGCCGCTCCCCAGCTGACCAGCGATGCGTTGGTACAAAGAGTCATCATAGGTTGCAGGGGTCGGAACGGAACCCCTGCATTCAAATTGGCTGGAACTGTCCACCATATCAGGGAGCGTAGGACGGAGGACAGAAGACGGATTAGTTTGGTAGGCAGATCTTGTTGTGGTCGAAACATAAACATAGCACAGGAATAAGAGAGGATTTCTCAAGGTTAATACAGAGTCCAAGGTCCTTCAGCAGGGCACAAGTTGTGCGAATGGACGACAGAAGACTGTCTCTGGTCTGGGAGACTAACAAGGGTATATTGTAATATAAGGCTAATAAGGGTATATCTGAACATCCGAGTTGAAGATGTGTGCAGACTGGAGCCATACATTTTGTAAAGACCCGTGGGGCGGTAGCCAGCCTGTAAGGGAGCACATTGAATTCAAATATTTCAGAGGCAACAGCAAATTGGAGGAAGCGCCTATGACACGGATGGATGGAAATGTGAAAATAGGCATCCCTCAAGTCCAGTGGGGCGAATCAATCCTCTCTCCTCAGCAACGGAAGGGTATTTTGAAGGGTGGTCATTCTAAATTTCTTTGCTGTAATAAAATTATTAACGTTTCGTAGGTCCAATATTGGGCGGAGACCACCGTCCCATTTAGAGACTGTAAAATATCTCGAATAGAATCCATGAAGCCCTTCAGATTGGGATAGCTGACAAATCGCTCATTTACAAAGAAGCTGGTGAACTTCATCCAGTAATACCTGTGAGCATGACCGGTATCAGGCTCAATGGAGGAACGATGTCGAATTCTATTCTATATCCATGTTGTATGATGGACAAAACCCACCATCAGATGTGATGGACTCCCAAATGGGGAGTCGGCTTCACAGCCGGTCCCCAAATGAGAGAAGGAAAGGGGGGAGTGGGAGAAGAGGAAAGGTCCGCCCGGCCCGTCAGCGTTGGCGCTTATCACCATCAAAATGGCGACGGCCTTGTTGGAAGTGCTGAGAAGGCTGTTGCTTATGGTGTTGCTGACGTTGTTGGTACTGTTGCCTGGGCTGGTATTGTTGTCGGTACGAAGGGCGGGTCCAAGGCCACTTACGTCTCTGTTGCGGTTGTATCTCCATACGACGAGCCGTCATCCTGGACTCATGTATTGATTTTAACTTGTGGTCTGTCTTGGCATTGAAGAGTCCCAACCCGTCGAAAGGCATCTCTTCGATTCTTCTTTTCCTCTCCTCCGAGAAGTTGCAGCTTCACAACCAAGCATGCCGCCAGAGATGGCACCGACCAGAGCCCTGGAGTCAGTATCCCCATGATGCCTAGCAGTGGAAAATTGCTGGATTGCAACTTGCATGGCCTCTTTAACGAAGACCTTTGCCAGATCTCCTTGATTGTCCGGAAGAGCGGAGATGATGTTACCAAGGCGCTGCATGATAAAATACTGGTAGTGCGCCAATGTCGCCTCATAGTTGAAGATGTGCAGGCCGAGCCCAGAGGCCGCATAGACTCGACATGCGAGGGAGTCGATCTATCTCCCTTCCTTATCGCAGGGAGTCGTGTGACCTCTTGGCTCCCTGTCCTGTGAGGACTCCACCACGACCGAGTTTGGTTTAGGATGTCATAGGAGGAACGGAATGTCCTCCTCCAGAACCTGGTACATAGATTCGTACCACCTGGATGTGGCTTGAGGATGAGTGGGCAGATCCCATGGCTGGACCATCGATTGACGCAACGTTGTAATCAGTGACAGGGCAATGGAAGTTGACTGTTCACCTTGGATCACGTCATAGAATCGGTCAGTGCTGGGACCGGGCTGCTGTTGAGCCTCGATCTCTAGCGACCGGACCAATCTAGACATTAACTCCACAATGGAGATGTGGGGCTCCTCTGGTGACCCCGGGCCTTGGGATGTAACAGCTACATCAGGAGAGATGGAATCAACTTCGGACTCATCCGAGTCCACTCTGTAACATGCTGGAGTGCTTGAGGAAGAATCTTCCGGCAACATGGACCGACTCCTTTCCCTAGGTTCTGGTACCAGTGATGCGCCCCTCAGCGCCGATGAAGGAGGTCAATCCCGAGGTGCTGGGTAGTAACCAAATGAATGGTAGTCCCCCCATCCAAGTAGTAGGAGTATCGGGGATGGTCCCAGTCATCAGAATGCCTCTCGGATGAACAGCTTCAGCCCCTTGGGGGAGACATCTCCGTCTCTACATCCAACCGCACCGGTGGCATAGGTGTAGGAGACCTAGCTCTTGGCAGGGAGTTGCAGATCTCTCCGTCCGTGATCGACTCACGCTGCGGAGTCTGAAGTTGGTGAGGCGACTTGCTTTCCTCCCTGACAACACGTCAAGGGGACCCTGGAGGGGTAACCCTCATGGCCGCCTGAAGTGTCGGGCCCGAAGCTGTTGGTACCGTGGCAGCAGCCGGGACCGAGGGCACCAATGAACTGGATTCATGGTGTTTGGCGTGCTTGGGCTTTTTGGCTTTACAGGCCGTTTTTTTGGCCTTATCCTTCCTGGACTTCTTATGTGTAGACGACTTCTCAGAGCCACTATGCTTCCTTTTTTCCTGCTGTTTTTTGGGAGAGGAAGCAGGCTGTTCGCCCATGGCTGATGTGCCTTCCTCTGAAGGGCATGAGGATGGAGCAGCCAAGGAAGAAGCAGGGCGTTGTGGCGGCACAGCTGAAGTATGAGCTAGGCAGCGAGTAGAGGTGGCCAACGTGGAAGCAGACCTCGCAACCAGTTGGTCTGATTGCATGAGAGCCTGGTCCCAGGTGGTTCTATTTTCTCTGGCCTGCTTGGTGAAAGCCAGACAATGGCTGCATTTATCCATCTTGTGGCCTTTCCCCAAGCAGAGGAGGCACAGGTCGTGCGGGTCCACTGGGGACATCTTAGAGCCGCAAAAGGCCGCCTGTTGCGCCATCGCGAAAGAGAAAGGAGAGGATAGTGCAGAGGGGGTAGATAATATTTTTGTTTTTTTAATAGAACAAGAAGAAAAGAACAAACAATAACGAGAGAAGAATATAGTAAGGAGATAATAGGGTATGTAAACTTGGGAGAAGAGAACAAGGAAGCAATAACCAGGAGAAAAGCGAGCAACGATATGATCTAAGCGAAAGCGAAAGCGCATGAGGCACAATGAACGGCGGTTGCAAAGACTGAGTAAAATGGTGGACACTCCACTCTATATATACTGTGGAGGGGAGTTTCCCGCCAAAAACGTTAGCTTTCAATCTTCTGGCCTTAGGCACTGTGCAGGCGCAGCACCCATATGTGTGATGCACAGAGGCCATGACGAACAATAAGTGAAATCTGCTACTCCTCTCCCCGTTCTGTTATACCTTTGCAAGAACAAAAAGTCTTCTATCTGTGGAAGGATGCCATAGGATACAACCCAGTTTTCCTGCAACTATTCCACCACAGCTACACATTCATCTCATGAAGCTATGCTATTCATTGTGAGAAAGAAATAAGGATATATGAAACATCAAAGATTCCCCTCTCAGGAAAAATATACTAAATGGAATTATTCATGGAGAATTATACTTTTGCTACTTCCTTCAATGTAGGACTTAACACAGAATTAAAAACCCTATGGATATGGAGCACACACAAATAGGTATAGCTCTATTTATTTTCTTATAGTAATCAAAGCAGTTTTCAGCAAACTGCTACATGAAACCACTAGTGTGAGGAAATGGGCCTTAAAAATCAGAGAGGCATCACCTTGACATTCAAAAGAGCTAACAGACTGTGCTCCTGAGTTGTGCTGCATTAGGAACTGAATGTGCACTGCAGGTAATTTTGTACTCATAGCATCTACAAAATAAATTGTTCAATGTCTTCCGAAAGGTTCAGTATACATGCACAGTTTAGAAAGAAGGAAAAAAATGACAGCTTACTTGAAGAAATTTTATTATTAATTCAATGCCTTCTGAGTCAAGCCTAGAAACAAACAATAACAAGTTCAGTGCTTGATAGTTAAGTCTTCATAAATATTACTTCTCAAAGCAGAATCTTAAAATAGAAGTGATGTATGCATTTCTTCATTCATATAAGAAATACCGCCTTCCTTTCAAAAGACTAAAGTATTGGTGGCCAATAAAACAAGGTCATGTCTCTGCCAATCTGCATTGCCAATACATTTGTTAATTGAAGGGCACATGCTATTAGGCCATCAAAGTTTGGTAACCGCCAAAGCATGCGGTCCATGAGCTGCTACAGTTCAAGTGCTGCCTTTCTTATACAGGCTGCTTTCAGTCTGCATTTGATTCAGCCTCTATATATTAAAAGGCAAACATAATGAGAAGAGTCACCACTAATTGCCCCTTTCTATGTATGTATATATGTATTTAAAACATTTGTATGCCACCCAATTATGCCACAGCACCTCTGGGCGGCTCACAACCATGAGATAAAAACACAATAAAAACATAATAAAACCAATAACACATTAAAACAACAATAAAATACAGCAAAGCATACAAGACAAAGGGCTATGGCAATTAGTTATTAACATGTTTTTAAAAAGGAAGGTCTTTGCCTGGCACTGAAAAGAAAATAAGGAAGGTGCCAGGTGAATCTCCTTGGGGAGAGCATTCCAAATATGGGGAGCAGCTGCAAAAAAGGCCCTCCTCCTAGCGGCCATCCCTCTCCCCTCCTTAACGGATGGCTCACACAGGAGGGCCCCCTGCGTAGATCTCACATGCTGGGTAGGTACATACTGGTGCAGGTGCTCCCTAAGATAACCGGCCCCTAGGCCGTTTAGGGCTTTATATGTCAACACAAGCACCTTGAGTTGGGCCCGGGCCACAATTGGTAACCAATGAAGATCTTTCAGTATAGGTGTTATGTAGGCTGCTCTAGGGGCTCCCGTCACCAACCAAGCAGCCCTGTTCTGTACCAATTGTAATTGCTGGACCGTCTTCAAGGGCAGTCCCACACAGAGCACATTGTAGTAATCTATTTTGGGATGTTACCAGTGCAATTTAATCAATCTCTCTTCCCTATCTAAAAATAGACTAGCACAGTGTGCTTTTTAAAATCAACATCCTGTAATCCTGCACAAAGACATATTTTCTGCACCGAGGACCTTGATGAGAATGTGTAATAGCTGGTTTCCAGATGAAAATTTTATGGTGCTGTTGCCCTGTCTCATTCATGAGATTTTACAGGAGGTCCAAACAACATCTGCTTCCAATTGTAACTCTCCCCCATTTCCTCAGCATTTCTTCCAGATCTTTGCTTTCTACAAAAAAATCTTTAAGAAGGGAAAGTTGGAATAGCAGGATGCTATTTGATTAGTAGCAGCAAGAGCTACCACTCTGAAAACATCCATGGAAATAATCTATTTTCGATGTTATGAGGTATACAGTAATTAACTCAACTATAAGCAGATATTTTACAAATGTGCGAACATCCCACATTATACTGAAGAAAAAGTAGCCCAACAATATACCTGGCTAATTAGAACATAACCATATAGCATCATGTGTTCATGTATCTTTAGACCGAAACATTCATGTCACAGCATCAGCTCTAGTGTTATAACTTTCCAATACCTTGGAGCATGGTTGATTAAAGGCTGTGGCTTGTATTTAGGAAAGTTGTAGTTCCTAAACTCATCACTGGAAGTAATGCCTGGCCACGTTTCTTGTGACGGAGTTCCTGAGTTGAAAGATTATATTCATTACTAACTTCATGGGAGCATTAAAATTAAATTCAAAAACTGCATTTGAATCCAAAAGATTAGTAAGCAATTAATAGCATTTTACTTAAATTCAGTGAAATGGCAGATTAATTTGCAGTAATAGAAACAGCCCCTCACACACTTTATGAAAAGATATGTGCTGCAATTAGGGTCTGACATACTTTCAAAAATCTACTTCTAAAGAGTAAGACAAAGCCATAACTGCAAGCTAAGCATAATGTACTTACCCAGAAGTCTGAAAATTAAGTGCAATTCATCTTCAACAGTTGATCCAGGAAAGAGAGGTCTGCCAGATGCCATTTCGAAGAATATACATCCAACACCCCTTCAAAGAGGAAAAGTTAAAATGATAGTTAGAATGGAGATAGCAATTTCTGGGTGAAGTATATTGCTGTTCACAATTGCTGCAATGTGCCTTCCTTGGGCGAACCATTGGCTATGGCTTACGCTAACTGGAACAAAACAGTTGTCAATCTCTGGGTTCAGACAACACAAGGATCCACACTGAAGCCCCACTGAGTTAGCGTTGTCATTGAACTGTGGACGGTTGTTGAAATATAGGTTATTCTGTTGTGTGAGTTGAGCCACAATGTAGAACAAGCCATCATTAACAACCCAACAACAAACCATGGGTTCTCCTCACAAACTGTTTGTGGTTAATTTGCTTGCTTGTGCAGCTATGTTCAGATAACACAAAAGCCCAGTCAATGAGTGAACACACTAAAGGTGCACTGCTATGCATATTTAAACAGAAAAAAGGTCCTACAACTCCCAGCTTTTCTCTAGGCAACCATACTGGCTGGGGCATGCTGAGAATTGTAGGGCATATTTCTGCCTAAAAATGTATAGGATTGTTCCTCAACAGCATTATTTTCCTTCCACCAGAAGCAAAAAGCAATTGACACATTTTTTTTTTGCCTGCATTGGAAATGCTTTTCCTAATTGATCCCAATCAGTTTTACAACTCCAGTTTTTAGATTCAAAATGTGAAGGTTTTTAAGGACCTTAACTTCTTTTAAAATTACAACCCCAGGATCTTTGGAAAGCTAAGTCCTGGAACATAAAGTATGGCATTCTTTCCATTCTCCAATGTCAAATGTAAACTTGAGCAACTTTGAATATTTATGAACATGTTACAATGCCACAGAGTTTACAGGGCAAAACCCCCATTTGTATAGTTTGCAAGAAAGCACAGATTAATATTTAAGAAAGACATACCACATGTCAATTTGTGTTGAATATTCTGAAGATCCAAGGAGAACATCAGGTGGCCTATACCACAGTGTGACAACTTCATTAGAATAGGTCTTAGTAGGGACAGATTTTGCTCTAGCCAAGCCTTCAAAAATAAAGAGAAGTATATATTTAGTGTAGACCCACTGGTGTCACTTTTATTTTATACTGTATTTGCTCTCATTTGTTCTTCTATGTGGTTGAAGATACCACTGAACATTTAAAATATATAATACTGGCTACAGCAAAATAGGAATGTACAAATCATTTCAACAGACCATGCTTTTTAGAGTTTAACAGCCCCAGTAAGAATAGAACATTGGATGCACACAGAATATTGGATCACCTACGATTTGCTTAATGTAACTCGCACAAAATCAGAAAGTTGGTTGTGACAGTGGGAGGAGACCACTGGAAAAACACAGCATTATCATCACAAGCAATTCACATTGCCAGGCTTTGACCAGAACTGGGGCTGGGAGAAAGGAAGCGGGGAATGCCTGCTCTCCTGAAAGCTTTTCCTAACGTGGGCCTTTCTGAGTACAGGCATTCCCTGAGTTATGAAAATCCAAGTTACAAGCAACCCACACTTATGAACAAACTGCCATAAAGCCTATTAATTTTAAAAAATCACTGCGAAAACTAGTCATCAACATAGCTAGAGAGAAAGTGATGGAAGGGTCACTCTTCACCTCTCCTTTTCCATCCTTCCTGCACATTTGTTTTGTTCTCATTGGCCTAGTTTGCATGATCACAGTGGATGAAGCAAGCCGCTGCATGGGCCAGCTGGATTTCACTAATTACTCCCACCAGGGTGGTTTGCAGTACTATCCAAACTTAGGCAGCATGGCTGGTTTGGGGAAGACAGCAACTCTCAAAAAATGTAGCAAGAGCTGAAGAATGATTTGAAGGCTGGCATGAACCCCATATTAGCCATGGTGCAGGTCATTAGGAAAATCTAGCTGGCATGTGCTTCCCACATGCAGCAGCTGCAACACACCATGACAGCTTCTTTTAGCCACTGTGATCAGGTGAACCAGGTCATTGCTTTGTTTGTGCTTAGGCCTTCCTAGTGCCTGAAAAGTAAGACCAGCACCCAGGAATGTTTCAAATGTAAAGCAAAATGGAATTCACCAAAGTGGCAGATAGAGGAAAAGGCACCATTCAATTTTGAAAGTGCCTTCAACAAATGCTTTTCCAGCAAAAAAATACATGCTATAAGCAGAAGGTTAAGGTCCATGCTCCCAAGAACTGTGTAGTTCTTGAGCTACTGGCCCACAGAGAAATTTCTGCCCCTTGGGAACTATGGGCTAGACCCAGGTTGTCTGACAAAGCTTAGGGAGCTGCTAAACCTAAACGAATACCTTAAGGTATACACCTTGTGTATTTTGGCATGTGTCTGTTATCACTCTCTGTGTGTTTGTGTGCATATACACAAACATTTTCTTATGAATGAAATGAAATAAAATCAACCCATTAGCTACATACCAAAGTCAGCTAGTTTCAATTCTCCTCTTTCATTAATGAGAAGATTTTGTGGTTTTAGGTCTCGGTGTAGAACTTTTCTTCTATGACAGTATGCCAAACCACGCAGAATCTGGTATAAAAACAACTATAAAAGGAAGAAAAGAGATTAATTCTGACTTTTAGATCTGATAACAAGCCATGCATGGTTGATTATCTGTTCATAACCGCCAGGCCCATATATATGAAAATGTGGAGAAAACCTCCTAGAGCTGCAAGTTGTTCTCAGGTGACAGACATCCTAATAGTAGCAATTTTAACCTTATTACATAAGCTTATCAAGTGTATTATTTTACAACACCCTCTTCCCTTCTCTACATTCTGTATTGCTATGTATGCTCTGATGTCTCTAAATAAAGAGACTAAAGAGATATTTCCACAAAATAAAGAGATATTTCCACTAAAGCAGAAATATCTTTGAAATGCTGTGAAATGAGGGCTTCAGGTTGAGCCAGGCATATGATAAAGCAAACAAAAGAAACCTCTGCAGCTCAATGTATCTTTAATCACATTTGTCATCCTTCCCTGCATCCTGGGAACTTTTATTTAGGTACCACAATAGCACCATGCATGCATCCTTTATGTTTCTTCTCTCCTTTCTTGCATTTGCCTCCTGATATCCTCCTTGTTGCTTTTGCTCAGTGTTTTTATCTGGCTAACAACCTGCAAGCAGCAGCCACCTGCTCAAAGACAAAAGGGCCTTCATACGAGAAATAAACTAACTCCAATTTATTATTCACAGGTTGACTGAGGAATGCACAAACTCAATAGCCTGGCATACAGTTAAACATTGTTGTGTTGAATATAGTCATGGAACAACTTGGAAGAAATTGTTTCCAAAAGTGGACAGAAAACTTATTTTTCAGTCCTTTTTTAAATGAAATCTTATCAAGTCACACCGCCTCCTTTCTAGCAAATCCCCAATGTCAAATCAGCCCTCTCCCACGACCTCACAAATATTCTTTTCTGTCTTCCACCTCTCCCCACATTGTGGGGGATATGGGTTGCATAAAAAAAGACAAAGATACATGTTTGATCTACAGAGACCATGAAGAAGAACTCTTGTAAAACATCTACCGAGCACTCTTGATATAAATATTCTGTTTGCCATGTTTGAATCCTGCCCTTAGTTAAAGAGTTTCAGGACACAGCACATCTAGTTCTTAGGTTTTTAGCCTTCCTTCATGCCTATGAGATATAGTGACTTGCCCAAAGCCAAACAGAGAACTTGCAGGGAGCTATGCTTTGATCCTGGCTTCCTCATACAAATAGGGATAGGCAAACAAGTACAGTTTGAAGTCTTTGAGGTTCTTGACATTTCTACTTGAAGTTTGGTTCACCTTGCTTGCTTTCCTGAATGCCAGCATCTCTTTTGTTTTTCTTTGATTGGGAAAATGCTAATTTACTATCAGGAAAAATGTGCATTTTTTCCCAACTGAAAAGGCACATTTCTTTCCACGTGCTAATGTACAGCCTGCAAGGTTGTGAATGGGACATGCTGGCATGATTTGTATGATTCTGTGTGAGCACAAAGAAAATGCTTGTACATGAAATATACTAGGCAACTTCCAAAACCAGATCTTCTTTTAGTCATAGGTGGAATGAGGCCCCAGGTGACAGGTATGGGCCTATATAGATTAGCAGTAAGAAAGGAGTACCACCCTGGTGTCTTGCTTTTCTATAACCAAATTTTGGCTGGCACAGAGGAATGGACTATAGCAGGGGTGACCAAACCAAGGTCTGGGTGCCACATGCAGCTCTTTGAGTTTATTGTGTAGCTCACAGCTTGCCACCCATGGGTGCCCACAGGCACCAACTTGCTGCTCATCACCCACAGTCACCATCTGCAGGTGCCCACAGGCACCTGCTTGCCACTTGCTGCTTGCCGACACCACCCATGAGCACCTGTTTGCTGCTTGCTGCCCGTGGGCACCCACTTGCAGGTCTCAAACATCTGATATTTATCATATGTGGCTCTTCTGCTGAGCAAATATGAACACCCCTGGACTATAGACAAATAGTCTATAGCAGACAAATGCACAAATAGACAAATGCACATAGCAAGCTGCCTTGAAGGAGCTCAGAGTAGGTGTCCTCCTAAGCCCATATTGCCTGTTTGGACTAGCAGCAGCTCTGTGTGTCCCAGGTAGAAGCCTTTCCCATCACCAGCTAGGTGAGCCTTTTTGACATGGAAATGACAGGAACCTAACTTGGCACCTTCTGCACAGAAAGTACGGCCCCTCCCCTAAGCTGAAGAGCAGAAGAGAGCCAAGCTGATCAACATGGTAGCTCCTCTGTGGATAATATTTACTGATCTGAAAATCTTGTAACAGACTCCTATTTTTAAAAGTTTCCAATAAGCCTAATTCTTTAAAAAGGGAGCAATAGCCTGAAAACCAAATATGTATACTGAGGCTTCTTTGGGCACACTGGTAAATTGCCTTCGTTACAAAAAGATTAGCTTATTTCGTATGATGTACAGGCATGAATGTTACACGGGTAGGCTGCTCTTTGAAATTTTCATATGTATACCATTACAAGGCCATAGTTACCATGCATGCCTTCACAAAATAAAAGTCACCAGTGGTCTCTTTTTAAAAAAGAGTTCTTTGCTACCTCCTCCACCTCTTGATAAAACAGCCTCTACCCCAACATTAAGAGGTTCACTTCTTGTCCTATTTGACATTATTGTTAGGTCTAAAGCAGAAGAACTCAGAACTATATGAAAATCATTACACCAAATAAGACAAAAGACATCTGAAAGGAAGGTCCCAGCAATGCTGTAATAGCTATTTGGGCACGGAACAGTTGGAATCCGTATAAAAGCCAAATTTCATGTTGTTTTGGTATATTATGCTGTCAACTATGTTTACTCCACCAGCTATTGTTCATTAAACAAACCAATTCCTTGCTTGAAAATGGCATAGAATGCTTGGTATTGAGAGGCAAGCAATTATGTGCAAAATTACATCATTTAAATACTTGCAGGAACAAGTTCTCTTTATGCCTTCAATAAAGCCAAGTTTTTCTAAGCAATGCTTGGTATGCTTTAATAATTAAATTTACTTTCTGAAGGAAGAATGATTCATAGAGCAATATTCCTAAATATTGGAATATTGGGGTGCTGAACCTCAGGATTGCAAGTCAAATCCAGCCCAGCTGGATCCAAATTAAGTAAGTTGCCTTGAGTTCCTTGAAAGAAAGGTGGGATATAAATATAATAAAAAATAATAAGTTTGGTCTTCCGGAATTCCCCAGAAAGTCATGCCCCCTTGTTTAGCCCTATTCACTTTCTTCTTGGCTCCCCCTGGAAATCCTTCAGGAAATTCCAGGTTTTATGCAACTTCTAACCATTTTAGAATGGTTACAACTTCTAACCACTGGGACTGCAGGTGGTGCAGTGGTTTAAACCGCTGTGCTGCTGGGCTGGTAGACTGAAAGGTTGCCAGTTTGAATATGCACAATGGGGTGAGTTCCCATTGCTCCGTCCCAGCTCCTGCCAACCTTGCAGCTCAAAAGCATGCAAATGCAAGTAGATAAAAAGGTACCACTTTGGTGGGCAGGTAACAGCGTTCCGTGCACTTTGGTGTTTAGTCATGCCGGCCACATGACCACGGAGACTGTCTGTGGACAAACGCTGGCTCCCTCGGCTAGGAAACGGAGATGATGAGCACTGCCCCCTAGAGTCAGGCATGACTGGACTTAATGTCAAGGGGAAACCTTTACCTTTTTAACCATTTTTAAGAGGCCTAGTTACTGGCAGTAAATGCTTTAAGCTCAGATATGCTGGCATGTTATCCTTGGCCCCTTTGCTTTAAAGCCCAGAATTCCCAGAATGTAGCCTACAAGAGCTTCCTTGAAATTAAATTGGCCCCTCTGACAGAAAAAGGTCCAACACATCTCTCCTAGGAACAGATGCTAGAAAATGAATGTTAAGGTGCATCTGTGCTTTAAACAAGCAAAAATGCTGAAAATTAGTGAATAAGACTGACCTTTACGTTGTGCATACTCATGATGTTCCCACAGTCATCCATATACTGCTTTAAATCTTTGTCCTGATGAAACAAACCAAAGGTTGACAAGGTTGGCTTAACAAGCTGTAAAATGGTCTGAATAAAATAGGCTAAAAGGGCTATGTATGCTCATTGTATTGTATTTTTTGTATTTTATTGGGTTTTATTGTATTGGGATTTTAATGTATTTTTTTGTTTTTTGTTTTTTTTTGATGTTGTGAGCCGCCCCGAGGCTTATTGCGATGGGGAGGCATAGAAATGTTTTAAATAAATAAATAAATAAATAAATAAATTGGGTAGGTTATTCTTTTAATGTGCTCTTTCCATCATCTCCTTGCTAAGGCACAGGGAGATAGTTACAACCATGCCAGCTTGAATCAAGTGTATGATCAAATCAGTGTGGCAAGTTTTGGCTGACCGATTGATCAAAGAAAGCCCTCATTAATTAATTATTAGGGGTCAGCTTTAGATCAGAGAGGGCAAATTTTAGACAGTGAATCTGAGAGTTAATGATACATTTATACATTTTTGATGCAGTTTTGTTTCTGTTGTATCCTTGTAACAGAATGGAAAATGTGTTAAAGAACGCTTTCCCACTCACAGAGCTGGTTCATCCTTATTACACCATTACTTTTATTTATTCTGTAAATTTTTAGCGTCTCACAAAACACTTACTTGTGCTTATGATGTCTTGGCTATGGCCACTGCAGTGAATTAATGAGGGACTGTGGCACAATGGCAGAGCACCCGCTTTGCAGCAGGTGCAGGTGACTCCTTGGTCAGCGGGGCTCTGCAGCCACGGCAGGCTTTCTTTTGAGCTTTATCTGAGCTATCCATGGTGCTGAACACCATCCCCAAAACAGGTGCACCACCATGGAGCAATGGATGAAAAGCCCCACTGATACAGCTTCCCCTCTGCTCTGCATGCAGAAGGTCCCTGGCATCTCTAGGCAGCCCTGGAACCACTCCTGCCTGGCACCCTGGACAGATGCTGCCAGTAAGTTTCATCGATACTGGGCTATAGAACCCAGTAGTCTGAATTGGTATAAGTCAGCTTCCTAGATATTTAATTCTTCCTTCATTGGCAAAGAGGCAGATAACCAATCAATTAATACTAATATTATTTCTGTTATCAGTTATCAGACCTACTTTAACTGTTCTTAGAAAATGTTTAAGCTTGTGTAAACACTGGGGGAAAGACAGGCTGCCTCTAGTAACTGAACATTCATTCATTCATTTCACTTCATTTTTATACTACCCAATAACTGAACTTTCTGCATAGATGGGAAGAATGCCAGTTTTCTTGGAAGGATTTCATTTTCTTGGCTCACTAGAGAACATTTAAGAAATTGTGACAATAAAAGTAGAAACAAACTAAGTTTTTAAACATTCCAACCAAGAAACTTAAGGCAAATAAAATGAAAACTTACCAGATACTCAAAGACCAGGGTTAAGGATTTGTCTGTATGAACAATATCATGTAATGTAACAATATTTGCATGTTTTAGATCTTTTAACAATGACACTGCAAAAAGGAAAGAACAGAGTAAGTGTTATGACTGATAAGTAAAGGGGAAAGTAAACAGTATGTATACTGTTGTGTTAAAAGGGTAATGGACAAAAATAATTTAGATACGCTTACTTATTTGTAACTCCTACTGGGTTCAATGGTGCTTACTCACAGGAAATGTACAAAGGATGGTGGTCATAATTCTTTTTTGAATGTACATTAATTCTATTTATGTGCTACAGAACAAGGAAGAAGCTGCAGTCTAGTCCAGTTACGATGAAAGCACCTCACATTTTCAGTGGTATTCAGGCAGATGCTGAATTCTCTACAGCAGCCATCCTCAACCTGATTCCTTCCAAAATTTCTAACCACTGGCTATGGTGTCTGGAGCTGATGGGATTTGAAGACTATAAATCAGAAGGGCCCCAGACTAGGGAAAACCGCTCTAGGTTTGGGCCCAAAATATATCTGTGGGAAGTGTGAAAACAGAAGCTTGCCATAGTTAACTATTGATGTGTTACAGGGAAAGAGGAAAGAAAAGATAACATATGTCATGGAAAATGTAGGTTTGAAACCATGCATTTCAAGAGAAGAAAACTTGCTGTGGTTTCGATCTGCTGATACACCAAGGCTACAGCCTGTTTCATCTTAAGAGGAGTTGCTTCTCATTGTTATACAGAGTTCAGTTTGGCACTTGAGCAAAAAGCCTTCGCTTCACTGTCTGTACCTGCTGGCTTGGAGTGCTGAATGACCAATGTTGCAGGGAATTTAGGGAGACTGTCTGTCCTACTAACACATCCTGAACACAAAAATTAAGTAAGCCCCACATCTTCTGCTTAATATGAGATACACATATCATTGGGCACACTAGGAAACTGAGAGCACACCAACATACCTATTACCACTGAGAAAACAATAAAAGTTTAATCAGGCCAGTTGTTTTGGGTTAGGCTTTCCTCAGTGTGCAAGAGACTGAAAGCAAGCCTTAGGGTTCTGTGTTTCCTGCACCTTGCTCCTTTCACCAATGGGAGAAGCAAAAACTGAACATGGAGGGCCCTGATTAATTTGGCCCACTCCACTTGGGGTGGAAATAAGGCCCAGGGCTGGATGTATTTTCATGAAGAATACACAGTCAGTCACACAACAAGAATTTCAACTGGCACAAGCTTTGCAATTCAAGAAAATTATTTGCTCACCTTCTCTAATGGCTGTGCATGGGGCCCCCTCTTCATGTTCTAACCTGATTTCTTTTAAAGCTACCAAGTTTTCTGTCAGCTTGCTTCTTCCCTTATATACTGTTGCATAGGTGCCCTGTATAGCAAGTGAAAAAGAAAACATGCTTTCAACAAAAACTAGCAAGTTCCACATTAATTCAAGAAGAAAGGGAAATCGGATTTTTACCAGTTATTTTGTGTTTTTAATTACATAAATTTAGAATACTCTAAAATAATCTGAAACAAACCGAGACTATATTTTACAGGGCCCAAAGTTGCATTTCCTCACATACCAATCCAAAAGGTGGATTAGCAGTATCAGATTTAATAAAACACAATGAGGATACCTCAAGCTGTTACACTTACAAATGATTATTGCCTTAAGATCCTTAACTCAAAAGGAGGGATCTGATTATATGAATTCTGCTGTCTCTTGTTTCTTTGCCTTGAAACTAAGAAATGAAGTGGAAATATACAACACTACATTCACTACATTTAAAACTTTTTCAGTGAAAGCACAGGGGAGGTGGAAGATATTTAACATGCCCAAGTGCTTTATTGGTTAAGCAATCCTTTTGCCTCACTTATAAGAACACAGGAAGTTGCATTGTACTGAATCAGACAGATCTATTTAGTTTAGTATGGTCTAGACCAGACCTGGGCATTGTACGGCCCGCGGGCCACATCCAGCCCGATGGCTGACCCTGACTGGCCCACATGAGGTCACTAGCAAATTAAAAGTCAATGCAAATATATATCGTTGTAATATAGATGCAAGCAATACAACTGCACTGCTTTTATTTTGAAGGATCTGCTAAATTGAATTGAATTTATTGCTTTCCATGTAATGTTAATGTTAATGTTTTTGTGAATATTCATTAAATGGTGTTGTTCTGTGCTCCACATTTGCACTGTATCATTGTAATGTTTCATTTACTGTTTTTATAGAGATATATATTGAGCAGAGCTGTAAGTGTATTGGTCCGGCCCTTAACAACTGTCAAAGTTTCTCATGTGGCCCCATAGGAAAATTAATTGCCCACCCCTGGTCTAGACTCTCTTTCTGGATCACTGCCTTGTTATGGCAAAGGGGCTTGTGTAGCTCAATGAAGCTATGAGCAGGGCCACCCAAGATGGACAGGTCATGGCAGAGAGCTCTGACAAAACGTGATCCACCAGAGAAGGAAATGGCAACCCACGCCAGTATCTTTGTTATGAAAACCCCATGGACAGTACCAAAAGGCAAAAAGATATGATGCCGGAAGATGAGCCCCTCAGGTCGGAAGGTGTCCAATATGCTACTGGGGAAGAGCGGAGAACTAGTACTAGTAGCACCAGAAAGAATGAAGCGACTGAGTCAAAGCCAAAAGGACACTCAGCTGCAGATATATCTGGTGGTGAAAGGAAAGTCCGATGCTGCAGAGATCTATACTCCATAGGAACCTGGAATGTAAGATCCATGAATCAAGGCAAGCTGGATGTGGTCAAACAAGAGATGACAAGACTGAATATCAATATCTTAGGAATCAGTGAACTAAAATGGACAGGAATGGGTGAATTTAATTCAGATGATCATCAGGTATACTACTGCAGGCAAGAATCCCTCAGAAGAAATGGAGTAGCCTTCATAGTCAATAAAAGAGCAGGAAAAGCAGTACTGGGATGCAATCTCCAAAATGACAGAATGATCTCAGTTCGAATCCAAGGAAAACCATCCAACATCACAGTAGTCCAAGTCTATGCCCCAACCACTGGTGCTGAAGAGGCTGAAGTTGACTGATTCCATGAAGGCCTGCAACACCTTCTAGAATTAACTCCAAAAAATGATGTCTTTATCATCATGGGGGATTGGAATGCTAAAATAGGAAGCCAAAAGATAACCGGAATAACAGGCAAGTTTGGCCTTGGAGTACAAAATGAAGCAGGGCACAGGCCGGTAGAATTCTGTCAACAGAATACGATGGTCATAGCAAACACTCTGTTTCAACAACCCAAGAGACGACTCTACACATGGACATCACCAGACGGTCAACACAGAAATCAGATTGACTATGTGCTCTGCAGCCAAAGATGGAGACGCTCTATACAGTCAGTAAAAACTAGACCAGGAGCTGACTGTGGCTCAGATCATGAGCTTCTGGTTGCAAAATTTAGGCTTAAACTGAAGAAAGTAGGGAAGAGCACTAGGCCACTCAGGTATGACCTAAATCATATTCCTGATGAATATACAGTAGAGGTGACAAATAGATTTAAGGAATTAGATCTGATAGCCAGAGTGCCTGAAGAACTATGGATGGAGGTTCGCGACATTGTACAAGAGGTAGCAACTAAAACCATCCCAGAGAAAAAGAAATGCAAGAAAGCAAAATGGCTGTCTGAGGAAGCTTTACAAATAGCTGAGGAAAGAAGGGAGGTGAAAGGCAAGGGAGAAAGAGAAAGATACACCCAACTGCATGCAGAATTCCAGAGAATAGCTAGAAGAGATAATGCCTTCTTAAATGAACAGTGCAAAGAAATAGAAAAAAACAATAGAATAGGGAGGACCAGAGATCTCTTCAAGAAAATTGGAGATATGAAGGGAACATTTCACGCAAAGATGGGCATGATAAAGGACCAAAATGGCAGGGACCTAAAAGAGGCAGAAGAGATTAAGAAGAGGAGGCAAGATTACACAGAGGAACTATACAAGAAAGAGCTTAACATCCCTGATAACCACGATGGGGTGGTCACTGACCTCGAGCCAGACATCCTGGAATGTGAAGTCAAATGGGCCTTAGGAAGCCTGAGCAACAACAAAGCTAGTGGAGGTGACAGTATTTCAGCTGAGCTATTCAAAATCTTAAAAGACGATGCAGTAAAAGTGCTACACTTGATATGCCAGCAAATTTGGAAAACTCAACAGTGGCCACAGGATTGGAAAAGGTCAGTTTACATTCTGATGCCAAAGAATGTTCAAACTACCGCACTACTGCACTCATTTCACATGCTAGCAAAGTTATGCTCAAAATCCTACGAGCTAGGCTCCAGCAGTATGTGGATCGAGAACTACCAGAAGTACAGGCAGGATTTCGAAGAGGCATAGGAACTAGAGATCAAATTGCCAACATACGCTGGGTCATGGAGAAAGCTAGGGAGCTCCAGAAAAACATCTACTTCTGCTTCATTGACTATGCTAAAGCCTTTGATTGTGTGGATTATAACAAACTGTGGCAAGTTCTTAAAGAGATGGGAGTACCAAACCACCTTATTTGTCTCTTGAAAAACCTGTATGCGGGTCAAGAAGCAACAGTGAGAACTGGACACGGAACCACTGATTGGTTCAAAATTGAGAAAGGAGTGCGGCAAGGCTGTATAGTGTTGCCCTGCCTATTTAACTTATATGCAGAGCACATCATGAGAAAGGCGGGGCTAGATGAATCACCAGTTGGAATTAAGATTGCTGGGAGAAATATCAAGAACCTCAGATATGCAGATGATAACACGCTCATGGCAGAAAGTGAAGAGGAACCAAAGAGCCTCTTGATGCAGGTGAAGGAGGAGAGCGCAAAAGTTGGCTTGAAACTCAACATTAAGAAAGCTAAGATCATGGCATCCAGTCCTCTCACTTCCTGGCAAATAGATAAGGAAGAAATGGAGGTAGTGACAGATTTTATTTTTGTGGGCTCCAAGATCACTGCAGACAGGGACTGCAGCCAAGAGATTAAAAGACACTTGCTCCTGAGGAGGAAAGCTATGGCAAATCCAGACAGCATACTAAAAAGCAGAGACATCACCCTGCCAACAAAAGTGCGTATAGTCAAGGCTCTGGTTTTCCCAGTTGCAATGTATAGCTGTGAAAGCTGGACCATAACATTAGAAATGTTTTAATAAATAAATAAATAAATAAGGAAGGAAGGCTGAGTGCCGAAGGATTGAGGCCTTTGAATTGTGGTGCTGGAGGACCGCAAGGTGATCAAACCGGTCAGTCCTAGAGGAGATCAACCCTGCCTGCTCTTTAGAAGGCCAGATACTGAAGATGAAACTCAAATACTTTGGCCACCTAATGAGAAGGAAGGACTCCCTGGAGAAGAGCCTAATGCTGGGAACAATAGATGGCAAAAGAAGAAGGGGACGGCAGAGGATGAGGTGGCTAGATGGAGTCACTGAAGCAGTTGGTGTAAGCTTAAGTGGACTCTGGGGGATGGTGGAGGACAGGAAAGCCTGGAGAAATGTTGTCCATGGGGTCGCGATGGGTTGGGCACGACTTCACGACTAACAACAACAATGGTCTAGACTGACTGATGGTGATTCTACAGAATTTCAGACAAGAGACTTCTCAGCCTGCTCCAGGAAACTGAAGGATGGAATGGGTAACTTCATGGATGGGCAACTTTGGGAAGACTAGGGGCCATCTTTGCCACTGGAACTGAACCATCCCATCCCATCCCCACTGCAGACTGCAATTTCCTGAAAAATGAATTGAGCAGACATAGCCCCCTAAAAATGAATTCTGGCTTGCAAACAAGCCAATTTTCATGTTTTCAGAACTTTTCAGTGGACTAGCACCATTTATTCATTTATTAAGCCCAACATGAAAACATGTGGTCCTAGTTAAACAGGATTTTAAAACAATTCCAAACAGTGATTTACATTTAAGTCAGAACTCTGGTTAGTCACAACTGTGGTTAATGTCTGTGACAAATGAACAGTTCATGGTCAGAGAAAGTACAAAGAACTGTCAGTCTAAAAACAAAGGAGGTGAAGAGAGATCAGAGAAAGGAGACCAGCATTCCCTAGCGACAGTTAAGTGATAGGAGCACTATTAAGTCTCCTCTTTTATATACCTAATAAAATGTGAGAAAATAAAAAGAAACACACATTTTAAATTAATTACTGCAGCACAACTTTTATAAAAGTAAATTTTCCTACTAAAACAACTTAGGTAAGCTTGTTCCCTAATCTAGACAAGTGACACATCTCTTTTCATAAGATAATCTTTTCCCAGGGCAATGTATGTAATGTATAACCAGAAGAAAACAAGCCATATAATATTTGAGCACGCTGGATATACATCAGATGACCTGACTGAAGTCTCAGCTGTGTCTCAAATTCCTATGTTGCAAAAGACCTAGTACTCTGGGCAAACAAAATATCCTTACTATTGGTTTTAGACCTGCCCTATCCTTTATCCTGAACACAGTTAAGGTGCAATCCTATGCATGTTGATCCAGAAAAAACCCCCCTACAACTCCCAGCATTAAAAAATTGATAGAATGTTGTCCTTGGATTTGGACAGATTCAGTGGGCTTAGGTAAGTCATTGTCTCTAAATGTCACTAGCTCATCACCCAAACAGAGTTGTTGTAAGAAAGACAAGATTTCAGAATAAATATTAAGGAATAACACCCCCCCCCATCTTAAGGGGTGAAGGTAATTTCACACATACCTCACCAAGCTTTTCCAATTTGATATAGGTTTCCATTTTTCCAAATCCAATCTCTGACTGTAATAAAAGCAAGAAGTAAGTTCACATAGAAGTACTGTAACAACCAAGATTTTCACAAAGGGCAGATTATCTACAATGAAATTATTATTCACTGAGGCCCACAAATTTCAGCACCAGATTAAAACTGTCCTGTACTCTCAGGTGTTTAAAGGTGTATTATAGGACCTGTCAGTTATTCATTTAAGCTTTTGCATACTGATGTTATATGCTGCATTTTACTGTATGTGTATTTTACACTTTATTGTATCCGTGCTTTGTATTTTTTGACCTCCTGTGAACCACCTAGAGAACTTCAGCTTTTGGGTGGTATATAAATGAAAGATAGCAGCAGCAGCAACACTGTCATTGACATAACCTATCTGAAAACAGAGGGACAAGAACAGACATATAAATTTGCCTATATTGTCCCTGACCCTTAGGAGCAGATTTTTGAAACTGTAGGAGAATACAGTGTAGAGGAAAGGGCAGGAAAGCCATATAACTGCGTAGGCAGAGTGTGCAAGCTCATGTTTGCAAAGCTGCTTTGTTTGGGGCCCAGCAATACTGCTTCCTCTCAGGAGCTGGTTTTCCCCTTATCTGTTTCTAACAACAGACAGTCTCTTCCCAAAAGTGCTAGCTATTTATTTATTTAGAAAATTTCTATGCCACCCAATTCACCGAAGCCTCAGGGCAGCTCACAAAACATTAAAATATAATACATTAAAAATATAAAACGAATTAACAATATAAAATAAGTCCAATGCACAGCTAAAAACCTATAGCCATAAGGTGAGTCTCTGTGCAAGAATAAAGTGATTTGTTGAGCCCAAACTAGAAACTACTTCTGAGAACCCTCCTTTTCAGTAGCCCTGGGCTCCACCCCTCTGGGTGTACCCACCTGGAGAAGGGCTAGCCTCCTAGATCTATGCAAGCCCTCTAATTGGGTAGCCCTTCTAGCCTGACATCAAGTCATGGGGTAAGGTCTGGTAAGGATCCAGATCAGGCTTGTCCTCCTCTTCTCCCTTGTCCCCTTCTGTTCCTGGGGCTCCTGCTCACTTCGTGATGTTTAGTTGTTGAAGTTTCTCTCTTATCCACTGTCTTGCACTGTGCAGCAATGCCTGTATGTGTGATTGCACAGAGACCACAAAGAAGAACACCTGGAGACGGCAGCCTTAAGATATCCTCACTCTCCTTTGCCATTTCCTTTCTTTGCAGCCCTCACAGTCCTTATCCAAAGAAAGTGCTACCCTGACTCTGGAAAGCATGCCAAGAATAACTGGCCAGCCGTTTTGCAGGTAGCAAATTACTGGTAAAGAGGAGCTAGCACAAAAATTACCTTATCTCGCAGGCCTTAACACCTAGCAGTCAAGTAGCAAACACTGTGTTTCTAATTGTGTTTTTTAATGCATCTGTTTTATTATTTTTCAATTATGTTTTTATCTTAATTTCTGGCATTTATTTTTGGCTTTCTACAAATGGCCTGGAGCACAATTACCTGGTAGAAAGGTAAGGTATAATTTAAGGAAACACATAAACCTACTTGTTAAATACAGTCCTTTCTAGATCCTAGTACCAGCTATTTGCATCAATGTAACTGACAGAGGATCCTGAGTAATGCACGGGCTTGTGTAACATCTTGGAACAGAAACTGGACACTGGATTTAACATTTGTGCAAGGATGAAAAAGGTTTCTGCCAGTGGTAGAGAATTTATGCAAGCAATATGACACCACTGGATACAAACTATTGTCTTTTTTTCCCTTCAAACTAGCACTTAACTGGAAACTAGCTGACTACAGTATCAGATTAGTAAAAGTGCTTTCTATTACCGCAGGGGAGTTAAAATGTTAGGTATAGACTTTTCTTTGTAATAAATGACAGATGAACTAGCATTATGTCATGGTAACACTTTACTGCGAACACAATATTGCACCTGTCAGTACACACTAAGCTGGGCAAATATTTCCTCCATTAAGCTATGGTTTTAGTGCAAAAGTTTTCAGAGGCAAACTATCAACACTGCAAAATAATGGCCCAACTTAAAAATTATCTTGATTTGCTGTCTTCTAAACACAATTTGCAACATGTTCTAAAGGCTGCTCTGCAGGCAGTCCTTCAAGCCATACATCTGGGCATTGACTTCATTAAAAACAAAGTACTGTAGCTCTCCAAAGAAGAGATTGACAGAGTAGAAGGACAACATGCATGCCCGCAAGCCCAAACACAGCTGCCCAGTCTCGGCTTACAAGGTGCAAGAAGGTCTCTTAATATGGATGGGGAAGTGGTGCTACATGGGAATCCTGTAAGGGTTGTTTCATTTCAGACACTTACATTCATAGGAGGGTGCCATTTTTCCTACCCAAGATTTAAAAACCTCATTCCTACAAAAACAACTGTTTGAGAGGGAAGAGGGTTTCAAACACCTATAGGCACTTTTTAGAAGATGTATTTGAAATGCTTAGTTCTGCTCATGTGTGTATTCATTCTTGTGCATGTCACATTATATTATTCTCTCTCATCTCCCACTTTAAGAACAACGCACTCTTCATATCTCATTCAATAAACTGTGTATTTATTGAATACTGAAAGTCAGTGGAGTGTAGAGTTTAAGGGGGCAGGAATGGGATTTGGGAGATCTGGGTTCTAGTCTCCATGCAGCCATGGTGCCCACTGGATGATTTTGGGCCAGTCACAGACTCTCAATCCAACATACCTCACAGGGTGGTTGTGAGGATAAACTTGAGAGGAAGGGAATTATGTAAGTGCCTCAAGTTCTCTGAAGGGAAAAAAAGGCAGGATATAAATCATAACCATCTCAACTCAAAGAAAGGCCCAAGTGAGCCATAAAACTCCCTCCTTGCCTTTCATCATAAATTATTTCTGTTGCCCCAGTGAGGGTTGGCTTTTGCTGGAAACTGTTTTCCAATTTGCTTGAAGCCTGACTCCAGTTTAAGTCTCTTTTAGCTTCCTTCCATAGAAGACCATACCAGCAACCTAATCTATCTATCCCACAGGCAATAATGTTACCCATTCTAAAAACAATCTACATCTCCAGAATCTATTCCTCCTGAGTATAAGAAGTGTTTCAATTATAAATAATACCCTGGAAACTTTGATAGCTGTTACCACAACATTTTAATAAAGTGGTATAATAAATATTATAATAAATAATTAATTTATAGCTCAAATGCATGTAATAATATATATTTAATTGCACTCATTTCAACTTAAACACTACAAAATGTCCATGAAGACCTGCTCATAATCCTCAGCGAGGTAGCTTGTCTTTTTATGTTTAGAATAAGTTGCTGTTTAAAGAAGATCTGCATCCCACTCTTAAAAGTTATCTTTAACATTTATTTGCTCATCACATTCATCAAGTATTCATCAAACTTGTTCAGAATGCCTACAGAAATAAAGGCACATTTTTCAAACAACTGTTAGCTTCAGTTGCCTTCAGTTCTTTTTCTTAGAAGTAAAGCCATTATACTTGCCAGCCCAGAATAAAAAGGGCATTCTTCATTTTTCATGGCAAAGCCAACTGAGGCCATACACTGGTGTTTCCTTCAGCAAACACATAATGGGTGAAGGTCAATCAACTGTCTTTAAGCACCTATAACACCAGTTTGGCTGCAGGAGAAGATGCATGTGCAAAGGTATTGTATGATGTTTATTCTTTAAGGATTTGTTGTAAAGGAAAACAGTGAGTGGGCCAGTGTACACAATCCAAGTGCATGTGTGTAGCCTTTTGATTATTCAAGCCATTGTTCATCCTGTAATCCAAACTGGGGGGTTAGGAATCGTATGACTGTCACACAACCCCATGACTTGTGCTAGTTTAAGCACTGCCCAACCCCTGCCTCATGTGTTTGGATGACTCAATAAGCTACAGCTTGAATAGTTAATAACTGCCCAGCATATACTGCCATGTACCATGCCTTAAACAAGCCACAGTGTATAGCTGTGATCATGAAAACTGGGTCTTTGTGCGTAGTAGTTGGGTTCACTGTGTAAAGCATGGAACAGTCCAAACTATTTGCTAGCTCTGTATACACAACTAGAAGGAAAGCCCTTTGCTAAGCTTCCTTTTGATCAAATTTGGCATATGGGCCATCTCTGAAGCCTACATAGCAGGGAGGCCTTCCAGAAGTCCCAGGTTTTGGAGTCATCGCTTGTTGCTGGTATGACCAATGAAACAGGAAGCAGTTTTAATTTTCAGATTAAACTAAACTGGTTTGCACAATCAAACAGCACAAAACATGGTCTTATGCTGTTGTGTAATCCTTGCATGACCCACAGTTCCCACGTTTGCAATGAAACAAGCCACAGTTAGGTATGGAATATGCAAATCCTGTTCAGTACACATTGCAACCGACCATGGCTTAAACAACCTATGGTAGGCTATTTTGATCACACAAACCAGATCAATGAAACAAGATACATTGCATTTTATCAGATCTTTCAGTGTTTATTACATTTATGCTATCAGCAGAACTTTGCTTTTAATACTGTGGAAGGAGTGAGATCAGTTGTAGCAATGATTGGGGTGACAAAGCTTTGACATTATTCAAAATGCAAAGAACTGCATTCAAAAAGATGGAGAAAAAGGATGTTTACGGTAAAATAGTACTTACAGAAGAAGCCCACTTCTTCCACATTTAGTCCATGGGTGCAGAACTATTTTATGGCAGTGGGCAGAATAGCTGCCCACTATAGGCTGGTTGATGTTAGCGGCACAGCCCCATCAACCTGACGTCACGTATCTTGATTGCTGTTTCCAGAGATAGCACTAGGGTTTCCACAGCTGGCATAGGTCATCAGGGTGATCCCCAGTGTTATTTCTAATCTCAGCTGTGGGACAATGACCTCCAGGGGGATCCCTCTGGGGTTGCAACTTGGAGCTTAAATCCCACCCCTTTAGGAACCCTGTGAGGCTGTGTGGACCAGATTGGAGTGTCCCTGCAAGCTGGTTTAGGCCTGTGGTGCTGCCTCCCTGATCCAGACCAGCCAGTTGTTCTTGGGATGCTTTAAAGGAAAGCACAAAGGCCACAGCCTATTACTGTTCATGATATCCTCAGACAAATATCTCCCCGCCCCTGCAAGGATAGAGTGATCTGTCTACAGCATCTGTCCCTTCCTAGGCAAACTGCTACATATGAGTGAAAGGGTGGGGGGTGTCTGAAAGAGAAAGATCAGAAAAGAGAGTGGCAGCAAGACAAAACAATGACCTGCCCACTTTTGATGCTGATTTTGCCTACTGCTGGCCTTGGCCCTATCTTCAGTAAACCCCAACAGAATTAGGTTCTTGACAGAAAAGGGCTGCCTCTCCCAGCTGTTAAGTGTTCAGGTATATATTATCTGATGCACAGAGAGAAGGGGAAATATTTTTCTAAGAAATGAGTTCAAAAAGTCAAATGATATAAGAGATAATAGTACACTGAAGTGTCACAGCACCACACAAGAGCACAAATTAATGCAAGATGCCATCGAATGCATTATGCAGCTTCAGATGCTATAAGACCCTGCTGTTTTTGCTGCTACTAGGAATTCCTCTCCAGAATCTGGAAGGGAATCCAAGTATTACCTACACATATGAACGATCAGGTTATTTCAAAGGCAGGAAAAACAGCAGAAACATACCAATGATGCTCTACGAGATCGTCGGCTCATTGGCTGGTCAAATGGTGGACTGTTTATCTGCAGTTTTTCAAGGTATCCATCAGGTATTCTGATGTCTGCAGGTAGGGACAAACGTTTGTTCAGGTCCTGAAAAAGAAAACCACCACTGTTAAAAAGCACAGGTAACTTCTAACTTCAGATGCAAGGTTAATGAAAAGAAAATGGCAGAACTTAAAAGTACAGATTACAAAGAGGGAGTAACTTATAATTACATGTTACACCAAACCTAAGGAAGCTTGCTATTGGGTAATATCTCAAAATGATGGTGAACAACTTGAAAGTAGTGAACCCTGAGCGTTGCAGTTGCACTGCTACATTTCAAGCCCTTAAAATTAAACAAAGCTATATGCACACTAATGCACAAAACCAAACAAGAACATGCTGCTTTAATAGCTTTCTATTACACATACCACCCCCAACTCCCAGTGTACCTTTTCAAGAAGTAACACTAGAAGGTCAGAAAACTGGGCTTCAAAGCTTTTACTGTTAATTCTTGCCATTTGGTCGTTTAGAAATATATTTTCAAGTATCATTAAGTATTTTTCCCTCATCAAGTACATGTTGCATGTTGGAGAGCCTAAGAACACTAGTAATTCAGTTTCTAAATTAAACTGTTGTTAACATGTTCTCTGTTTAATTGACTCAGGCAATATTCTTCAACAATGTAGTATTTTAGGCTCTGAAGTTTTGGCTTGATCCTTCCACCTCCTACCCCTACTGAAGTATCACATTTGCCTTCCCTAACAATTCAACTATTACTTTGCTGACCCTTGAAAAAGATGAAGGTTCAGTCTGATGCTGGATGATGCTCCAAATCCAGATGGATTTGCACTGATTAACGGAGGTGCCCAATTTGTACAAAGTCTACATGAATGTATGGAGCAACCAGGGGTATATGTGTTGGAAGTTTACAATGCTTACTGCTAGTATTTAAATACTGGGCTGAAATTTAGGTAAGTACAACTGGGCTGGTCGAAGGTTGCTTGATTCAGTCCCATGTGCGATGTACTTAAAAACTGAATAAAATGCATAAACAAAGACATCTGTCCAAATGGGCTTACACTTTAATGTATACAGTGAAAGTTAAATTGCAAGGAATCTAAAAAATGAAGGAAAAGATAAATACAGACTAATTAGGCATTGACTAAATGCAATAAAAAGAGACATGTCTTTCTCAGAGGAAAGCAGAGAGGTCCCAAGCAAGCAAATGCTAAATCTTCCTTAAATGAAACTTGCTAGTTCTTGAATCATGTGCTGTGTGGGAGATTTTTATTTTCAGAAAACAGTTTCTAGAATTAACTGTAAAGTTAATTCTAGCTAATCAAAGGCTTCATAGTTAGTCATGATGACCAGTGCATGATGACCATGATGACCAACTACATACTAGGACTTTAAAAATTGTGAGGCAGTCTTACAAACTCACATGCAGCTACTTTTGATCCACCCATTAAGCTTTCTTCACCCCAGTCATGACTTTACCAACAAATGTAACAAGAAAAATCCAACCCTCTGTAGTATATCTGCACCTCCTTCTGAAATCAATGTTCTGGGGGTATTGAAAAAAAAAAAGCTACTATTTTTGTTTCCATGACACTCAGAATCAGGAATGACACAATGTAGTTGTTTGGTTATAAAGAAGGCTACTGGTGAGACTACATTCAGCTTCAGAGTCTGGGCAACATTTTTTCCAACCACACCTAGGCCTGAATAAGGAGTAAGGGGAAAATATGGTTTCCCATCAACTAAATAGGCCTGTCTGAGCCCCAGATACATATATGCTACCGTGTACTTATTTGCACACTAGGAATAGGAGATAAAAAACTTTTGTTTACATTTTTAAACTAAGCACAGTACATTGTGATCTCCAAACTGTGCGTTATTTAAACTATGGTTTAGGAATGGTTTAGATCTCAGACTGTTCTCATTAACTGCAGTTCCTATAGCTTCCAAAATCTAAGAATGTTTGTCAGGGATAAGGTCACTTCATGCAATGATTTTTTGGAGACTTTCCACCAATTCCAGCAGTTGTCAGAATGGATTATTGGCAATCCATACATTATCAAATCTCTGAAGTCGAGCTTGATCAGTTACTGGATAAGCTGGAAGAGCAGGCTAGAGGATAGTACTCTCAAATATTTACCAAGCTCCACAATGTTATCTATAATATAGTTGCTCTGACCTGAATCTAAAAAGTGATGCCTATATAACATAACTTAGCATTTTTTCTTATGATGCTAAAAGTCAGGGAATAACTGACTAGGCGGCGGCGGTGGCAACAAAGGAAGACATGAGGGAAGTAAAAGAAATTTTAAAAACAAGCAGAAAGTAAAAGACGGAGGAGTCCAGAAGCAAAGAAGAGGACCAACTCCTCCCAGCCCCCACCACCTGGAAGACATAAGCCTTAATGGTACTAGTGCATTTCACAGGACAGAAGAAAGTGAATTATTAAATAACCACAAAGATACAAGAAGCTTCAGATAATTGCTTCAGGTTCCCAAATCTTCCTTATTACAGTAGCTGAGAAGCACAAAATAAGTCAAGGCGACAGGAATGCAATTATGAGAGTCTGAGCTATTTGTATCTTTCTTACCACTATATGCTATCATGTAGATAGCAAATAAATGAAATGCCATGTCAACACGCCATGCTCATCAAGATCTCATAACATCACCCGTAAGAGGTTGTGCGGGCAGGCTGTGCTTCCAAAGCCTGCAGATGTCAGTTTGATTGCCCAAATAATCCATTATAGGTCAAATGAAAGTGACTTGTTCTCTTGTGTGGGTATCAACCTGAATCAGCCATCTCACCAGCTTTAACTAGAGCCAGGAAGACATCATATCAGCAACAGCTACAAGCTGCTTACTAATAAGTTGCAGTGCTGTTCAGTGAAGCATACTTAATGTGGTTTGTTTGAGCAGGATGCTGTCTGTTCTACAGTTTAATTTCCTGATAAGCTAACCCTAAAGACTCTCCAGCTTTACAAATAAACATATTCACAAAATGTAACTAATCCATCCTGTCCAACAAATTACAAGGAAGAAGCTACCATACATGCCCATGTCACAACCAAGTGAACCTCTTAAGATGTTTGTATTACGTAAGGCTATGTACTGTGGGAGTTCTTCCCACTCACACTTTCGCCTCCTCCTCCTCCTCCTTGAAAACTGTCTTATCACATTGTATTTTTGTAACATGACAGAACTGGAACACTTGCAGCCAAGGGGATACATAGTTTGAAGAGCTGCAACATAAGTCTTCTATAATCTTTGAATTTCTACAGACTTTGGGCAATAACAATTATGTTGGTAAGTTTCACAAACAGGACCTGCAACAAAATGTTTTCCTGAAGAGTGCTGCTGTTGGGCATGCCAGCCAGCCACACCTTCTTCTAGGATACTCTGTTCCATTATTGCTTCCATTCTGTTTTCTGTTCTTCCTTGCTCAACTGCCAGGGAGCATTTTGTGCCTACTGAGCATACTCAGACCACAAAGTGCTATTTTGGGGGCAGAGATTTCTCCTTGCTTTTTTCCCAAATACTTGTTGGGATATCCTCGAGGGGGCTATTACTTCCCATCTTGTGCAAGAAATGGGCAATTTTGGCTGCATGGGTAATGGCGCTAACACCCGACATTGGTGGTTTCTGTTAAATTTATGATTTTATAGTTATTTGCACATAGTCAACCAGATTAGCCAGATCCTTTGCATTAGAGATTTATACGCCTTTAAATCAGTATTTACACTGATGGTCTTTATATAGACACTTCACATTTTTGTGTACAAATGGGGAACTTACAGCGCAATCTCCTCTGTTCTAAACTTAATATGGTGAAACTAACACTCTTGGCCCACGCAAATTTCAAGCAATTTATATAGGATGGTAGCTTGCACTCATTGTTTCTTGGTTATTTAACAATTTCTAAATGGAGAAAACATTTGAAGCAAAACTGTAGAAAAATAGAAAGGATTACAACTCTACAGAATTCTTCCTATAAGCACAAGGAAGAAATACCCCAGAAAGTACTTTTCAACACATGTTACACTATTCATTTTCTTTTATATGCTTCTTTTGCTTCATTCCAATGTGGTGTATGTTGAGTGCTGGACTGTTTCTAGGCCCCACTCAGCCATGAAGGGTGACTTTGAGCCTGTCACTTACTCTCAACCTAACTTGTGGTTGTGAGCATAAAATGGAGCTATGTCAGCCACCTTGGGTTCTTCACAAGAGGAAAAAGGCGGGAAAAATATGCAAGGTGGCAACCATCACCACCACCACCAAAACTCCTCAGGGGGACACATCAAAAGAATTGTGAAGGGAGGTAAATAACTTCTCACATTATTTAAGAAATGACTGCACAGGCACTCAGGGAACTGGCTACACTTATACAGATGGTCATGGAAATGTACTACTTTAAGCCCTCAGTTTACACATCCCTCACTCCCTTGCACCCTGGAGAGGAAATTCAGAGAGAGCAAGTCCCAGACTCCCCCACTCCCCCATGAGATCAGGAGGTAGAATTCAGAAACTTTTGAATGCCACCTCCTGGCTTGCCCAGAGTAGAACAATGAGCTGTTGTTAATACTAACTATATGTAGTTTAAAACAAGCCAAGTTCAAGTATCCAATACTGTTGCGGTCTTTCCATTAATTCTGTTGGGCCAAAGGGATCCACTAGTGGCCGAGAAGTTAGCACTTCCTTAAGCAACCCTGAAAAGAAGTGGTAATTATTGGTTTTTGGATATGGAGAGGGCAGTGGAACACTCTTTGCCATTATTTGCTAGCCTGTCCCACGAATTGAAATGAACATTTTGGTTGTTTCCAGTTGTTATAATAACCATTACCTCCCTATTATGCTAGAAGTGGGTCCCTCTGGCATATAGGCAGCACTGGAAACTGCCCCTGGATTATAAAGCTGAATTGTTTAACCCATAGTTAGTGTTAAGTTCTCAGTCTGGATGACTCAGGAAAAAGCAGGTTGGTTACCTGTAACTGATGTTCTTGGAGTGGCCATCTGCGCAGTCACACATATGGGTACTGCGCCTGCGCAGTGCCTATGGCAGGAAGATTGATAGCTAAGGGTTTGGCAGGA